AACAATTCCATACATGAACGTGACTTTACGCTCTACCTGAGTGAATGTTGCAATTTCTCCAGGGTAATATTTTACATCACAAAGAGGGGTTTCAAAATAATTGTGTGTAATGCTCATACTGCACAATGACATTGGTCTATAGTTACATACATGTACGATATCGCTATAAAGAAATTGGTAGTACACATTCTACGCAGTTGTACTTTTTGGTGTTGTGGACAGACTGACTGGGAATTTCTCCAGAGACTGAGCTGAAAATTGAAAGGTAACTTTTTATTTGTTTCCATGGGTCATGTCGCCAAATCTTAAAGCTGAATTTGAATAGTAAGACACTATCCAGAATGTGGAATGTTTAACCCTAAAGGGGCCGGGTTATTTTGACCATCTCTCAGCCGGGGGGGGGGGGGCGGATTCCGCCCCCCCCCTAAGATCTCGGCCATCGAGTGACGAAAAATTTTGAAACTCAGCACATGCATAAAGCAACTCTTCCTTAACATGCCCAAGAAATGTCATGACTATAGGTCAAAGGGTTTTGGAATTATGGCTAATTAATTATTCATATGTATGAATGGCAATTCTGCTCGGTGTACACGACGTATATGCGAAAATTCAGTTTTCACGGCGCGTAGCGCCGGAAAATTTTTCGTTACGGGCCAACCCGTGGTCCGATTTTTATGTTTTTGGTATCAAAAGATGCGCAATGCTCGAGGCTAAAAAGTCATAACAGCTCGGGTCGCGAACAAATTTTTTTTAGAAGCTATCGCGGAAAATGTTGAGGGGGGGGGGGCGGATTCCGCCCCCCCGGCCCCTTTAGGGTTAACTGATTCCAAAACGTTTTGTTTCCATCAACAGTTTTGTTCTATGTGAAAGATCCAAGAAAGTGTTCTGACCACTTTTTATGCTGTCCGAAAAACGAGTCAGTTTCCAATGTTGAACGTTTGTGTCATTCACATTTGTTGTATAAAATAATGAAGTCTCATGTTATGCATGGAGTACTCTGTCATTGTAACATGCACATTTGTTGCAAAGTCGAAATAAGGGCTGTTTACTGAATTGTAAGTAAATTAAAACAATATTGATTGATAATATTTAAAAAATTGAATCCCAAATTTCTAAATTTTGCCCAGAAGTTAGAAAGCTGTGTTCATGGTATAATATTCGATGGTATAACACGAGCAATACATCAGATTGTTTTCAAATTTTCATTTTGTGCAATAAATATTTATGAATTTAGGAATTGAAATTGCAGGAATTTAAAATAACAGGTTCTCAACCACGCCTCTTTTAACTCCATTATTAGTGGTCCAAAGTTTATTACAATACTGGTAAATTAAAAACTATTCGAATGGATTCGGAATCTGATAGAAAAGGCCGTAGTATGCGCAGAAATGCGCATGTTTGTTTTGTTTGCATTATGTTTCAACATGATTTCTTGGTTCATTAGTATTCTGTTGCGAAGAACTTGTGCTAGGCCTACGATTAAAAATAAAACAACAAAAAAAACAAACAGAAAAGGGGACTTCCTCACCTATTGACCCCATTGTAATATAGAAATTATTTTATTCCAATGCACAAACTTTCTCTAAAGTGAAATGGTCAACGCGCTTTTAGTAAAATGACAGATCCTACTTTATCAAAAGATTTAAGCAGTCTAAAAGGAGAACTGTCAAAATCTTAGAATCGCCGTATCTTTTCTTTCCTTAGGGTCACGATTATAGCACTTCCTGACAGCAGAGTCGTGTATATTTCTGGACAGGACGTTTTGTGGCTCAGTGCCAAACATTGACCAGGTGAGATCAAAATATAAGTCCAGTACACGACTGAAATGTTATTATATGGACGTCCCCTTATAATTCTTTGGTTCTCGATTTCGACCTACCCTATTTTGGGTCCCGACCCAAGAAAACAGGTCTTATTACCGTCAACTTTGACTGGAACCCTTACAAACAAAGAAAAATACATAAATGAAAAAAAAATGAATACCATGATTCAGGCAATCAAGTTCTGTGTCATTTGAAAAGCTACTGCCAATAATATCCGATTTCAAGAGAGGCACAGCGAAAAGCAACAGATTCCAGGGGCGCGTGTTAATTCCTCACACTAACCCCTGGCTGTGATGATGACGTAAATGACGCTGATTGGCTATTCACAGCGTACTGCGCGCGCATTTCGAAGATTGCACGCCAGGCGCGCCCATAATGCGCTCGCGTTCTTTGCACGTAACGACACGTACGAAAAAAAAATTATGATTCAAAAGTCGCGATGCCTGTACGATATGGATTATGGCAGCCGCGTTTTTCGCTCAAAACAACCCTTGTATCTGCTGTTGTAAAGGCACGAAAGGGGTACGTACACTTAATACACATATTTGCTAAATAACGCAACGTCCAAACGTTATGTTTGAAAGGATTAATTCTTCAAAATCACAACTTTTGACATTTTAAAGATGGCGTCGGCATGTAAAACGGATAAACTGCAGCCCTAATTATAATGTGCCATATTTTGGCACATTTAAATTACACAATTCCAGGGGTTACGATCGCGCAAGGCATGATGGGAAACAACATGGCGCAGCAAGATCGTATCTTGAATTTAAACTTGAATTTAAGCTGCTTGATACAAAGTCAACTAGTTACTATATCGTGCCTCACAGTGCCCCTCTCCATCAATGTAGTTGTTTTTTATTAGCTTTTGAAAATCAAAACTTAGGTTTTAAAGGATTTTCAAGCGCAAAATACAGGCAATTATAGATTTTTAGGATGCAAAACCTTGCAATTTTTCAGCATGAGGCAGCATAAATATAGTAAATTGCTAATACTTCAAGTTTTCTTTACACTAGAAAAAAGTTCTGAAACACTTGTAAAATCTTAGAGAGGTAGACCTATATTGTTGATGAGTTTGGAACTATAACGAAACTGTTGGTCAGATCGAATGTTAAAGATTTCTCTGTGGGAAATGTATGCCAGAATAAAAAGAAAATATCTATAGGTGTTTATAGGTAATATACGTTACTTAAAAATAAAATACGCTCTCAAGCTGAAATATCTTTTATGAGTATTGAAGGTTTCGCTGTGAAGCCTGCCATTTTGTGCAGCATTTTCACCGCATGATATGTGAACCATGGAAATATAAGGGACGTCTAATGTAAACTCCGTTACAGTGGCGAATTCTTTTAAAGAAGCTGTTTGTGACTCCTGCAGGATAATACCAGAATAGGTCAAATTAAGTTAGTTTTGTAGACTGAGTTGGGCCATCATTTGGTCTTGCCTATTTTAGGGCGGAGCTCAAATCTTAAATAAGGGGAGCACAAGAGCCAAACTAAGCAAAACGGTCTTTTCAATATTTTTAATGTTTTTTTTTTAAATGTATGCCAGAATGTAATACGAGAACAGAATTCATACAGGTGCAGGAGCGGATCCAGGAATTTTCGCGGGGGGGGGGGGGGTTTCATCAGCAAAACAATCTGAAATGTAGACAGGGGGGGGGGGTTTCATCAGCAAAACAATCTGAAATGTAGACAGTAGCCGGAACTTGGTCTCCGAAAATCAATAGGGGGGGGGGGGGCTCGTACCATACTTTGAGTTGGGGCGCTATTACTCATTAGTGTACAAATACTCCCTAATCAAGCTGGCTCTGTCCGTATTTTTTGCAAAGGCGGACATTATTATCAGTACAATGTTTTGGGTATCTGAGTAGGGGGGGGGGTTCACATTTTTTAAATGAATTTCTATAATTTTTTTTTACAGAGCGTTGTACTCATTAGTGTACAAATACTCCCTAATCAAGCTGGCTCTGTCCGTATTTTTCGCAAAGGCGGACATTATTATCAGTACAATGTTTTGGGTATCTGAGTGGGGGGGGGGGGGTTCACATTTTTTAAATGAATTTCTATAATTTTTTTTACAGAGCGTGTCCCCCCCGATCCGCGCCTGAGGTGTTGTTTTTTAATATGTGGGCGTGACCGAAATCCGCAAGAAGCAGTATAATGAGCTGCTAAGTCAATTCCTGCTCACATTTCTGAATTGAAGAATAATACTTAAAATATCTTTTGTTGTGATCTAATTAAGGGCTAAAACGGATCCCATTTCTCCTACATCACCAAGACTTTGAGATCAAGGGATGTGGTCAAAAAATAAGGTTCATTCAGAAAGCTAGAAAAGCTTCTTTTTAAGTGTGGGATTTTGTTTCATTTGTTGGTTAGGCATGATACAGCTGTGGGATGTATGATGACTTGAGCAGGCACGCAGCAAAAATACTCCAAGTAGTTGATAGAAAAGTCATAACCTAAAGTTCAACGCTCGACTGCAACTTCCAGTGACATTTTCTACTTCAGTGCTACCTTTTAAACAAAGCCAGCCCCTTTACAAAAGGAGTTCTTTTCTTTAAACTCTTGTTAAATTACCTACATTTATGATCACATCCTTTAATCTATAGGCCTAGGTTACTCTGTAAAAATGGTGCTCAGAGTTAAAACACTTTTGAACCCACTTTTTTCACATGTTTAGTCTGACATTTTTAGCTTTTGAGCACAGTATGAAAGCCTACTAATGCCATAAATGACAACTTGTAAAAACGTAAACTTCATAAAGTTTGTTTTTCTGAGACAGGTGGTAAAAAGAGTAAGTAAAATGTGAACTGATCCCGTCATTCTACCTGAAACCCATAAGTCATTCGACTTGAACCTCACAAGTCAATTTATTTACTTTTTCAATGTATTATTCATGATGCTAACAGGTTACATGCTTTTGTACGTTGCCTGAACATATCACAGACATCAATAAACTAAACATGTCGGAGATTCAAACGTGAAAAAAGTGGGTACAATTGGGGGTGTAGAAATGTGTCCAAACTCTGAATAGTTTATACACTTCTTTTGATCTTTCCTTGCACGATTTCATATTCATTTAGTTATTTTAGGTTTCTTTTTTTGTAACAGGAGTAAGTGCATGTATTACATTATCTTGTTAATTGTAATCTTTTGGGTTTTTTTTCACCCTAGTATGAATGGTCTGAAGATTCGTCTTTTCTGGTTCGCAGTCTTCATGGTAATTGCATTTCCTGAAATGCCGGTATCAGCTGTTGATCTGCAGATAGATGTACCTACTCGGCCGCAATGCTTTGGGATATCTACAGGTCAGCACTTTGTCCTTGGCTTTTCTGACAACCATAATACGTATTCTGAAACTAGGCAGCTAGCCATTTTAGTGGTAGCCTTCAGGAATCAGCAAACATCAGTCACAATCAGCAGCAAGTACCAAATAGCTGGAAAACCATTTCAGGAGAGCTTTGTTGTAGAGGCTGGAGGATTTACACGAACTGTACTTCCTTCCGAGCTGGTGATGGATATGACCGAAAGAAGCCTGAAGGGGATCGAGATTTCAGCATCTTCCGAGGTGTCTGCGTACGGTCTGATGCATCAGCATTTCACTACCGATGGTTTTCTTTGTATACCCACAAATAATCTCGGTATGCAGTACGTACTGGTTATGGGGTCTTCTAGCTTCCAATCCCGATTTTCTGTCATAGGGTCAGAGGATTCAACCTTAGTTCAAGTTACTTTACATGGTCGTGTTACATTTGAAGGAAAGGATTATGGTGTCGGTGAGTTGTTGAGTTTCATGGTTGACAAGCTGGAAGCTGTTCAAATCGAAGGAGAGACGGGACAAGACCTAACAGGAAGCATCATTCAAACTAACAAACCAGTTGCCGTTTTCAGTGGTCATGAATGTGTGACTAATCCAGGGTCAAATTGCGACACATTAACTGAACAGCTTCTACCCGTCAAGAGTTGGGGGAAGAAACATATCTACACTTTAGCCGGAAGCAACGACAGAAATAACTACAGAATCGTTGCATATTTCACTGAGACAATTGTCACGATTCCGGGATTTGGAAATCAGTCCTTGGATACGGGTGAGTTTTGGGAAGGCGATTTATATGGTTCAGGGTTCGTGTCCTCCACTAAACCAACTCTCATGATGCAGCAGCTGGTTAATGTCAATGGTGCTCTGCGTGACCCTTCACTGATACAGGTACCTGCTGTGGAACAGTTTTGGTTTGTCTTTGGGTTTACAACACCACCATATTCTGGAGGGGACTCGGAAGGCTTTTTCAATTTCATCAGTATCATTGTTAAAACCTATGCACGTCAGACAGTGTACTTAAATGGATCACCAATTAACAGGACCAGTGTAACGGAACATAACGTACCCAACACTGACTATACATCGCTAACTGTCCAGTTGCCGAAAGGAGAAGGTTTGTACTTCGTCGAGCAAACAGATTCTCAAAATCCTCTTTCTGTCATTGTGTATGGGTATGAAGAACGCGAATCCTATGGCTATGCCGCTGGTCTGTCTCTCCCCAGCAATAAACATGTGCTGAGTTTGACACCGTACTATTTGCGAGAACTTGGTGGCGAGCTTCTCACGATGACTGTTCCCTGTTTGCAAACAAATGCTATATCCTTTCAAATTGCTGCAAAGTGCAAGTTTGCCACTGGCTTTGGAGACGTCATTGTTTCTGGTGAACGCACTGACACTTACACTGTTGTCTGTATCACTCCTACTTTTTACAAGAACGGACTTACATCTGTCTATGTATCACTTGACGATGGTGGATCATTTCCATACTCCGGCATTGTCTACGTTGCATCTGAAGAGGATCTGCCGCCACTCGTTCAAATCCAACAGGTGAATTCCGAGTATGGAGATGGCATCATTGACCTAACCTCAGATGATCCGATCCTGTTCTCCTGGGATCCTAGAATTCTTGGTGAAGGTGTTTCACATGTGACTGTTATGATGCAAGACACAGATTACGACAGCGATGGGAATCCAGTCTTGATGGAAGGTGTTACAGTGCAGAGCAATGTCTTGAACAACGGTAGTCTGATGATACATCCAAGCGACCTCCAATCCCTCACCAGTGATGGTTTGTCACTCGCAGCATTTTATCTTACTCCGTCTGGAATAAGAAGACGAAGAAATGTTGGAGCTTTGTTGCGGCGCCTAAGATATTATGGTCCTGCAGCAATTATAGTTACTGCAATCACCTGCGAAGTTTCAAAGTACCAGTTAAAGAAGACTGCGCCTACAGGACTGCCTCCATGTCCTTGCAACACAGGACAAGCTGACCGAGACCTGAATTTTCAGGAGGCCAATTTTGCGAATTTCTTCTTTCATCCAGGTGCTGATAACTGTTATAGGTCTGTTAATTCATTGCCGACTGGAGCAGGTCAACAGTGCTGTTACGGGAAAGACGGTAACATCCTGGTAGGTCCGCCTGGGGGAGGAACAGTCGACAGGTACAGTCCAGGAGATCATTTCTGGAAGCATCAATGGTTCGATGTTCTTCCTTGGCTTTGCTTATGCAAACTGTCAAACAACTGTAAAGAATATTACAAGTACAGGCCATCGGATGATTGTTCTGACTACGACCCACCTCGACCGGCTGGGGGCACTGGGGATCCTCATCTGACAAGTCTGGATGGCTACAAATTCACTTTCAACGGAGCCGGGGAATTTCTGATGGCGTCATCTGCAGTACATAACTTAACCTTTCAAGCCCGTATGGAGAGGTACCGCAACACCAATGCCTCTGTGTACACGGCTTTCGTTCTTCAAGTGAACGATTCTTCAAAAGTCCAGGTGCAGATGTCTAACATGAACGAGACACTGATGCTTGTAGACAGTGAGCCGTTGCGTCTTGACTCAATCCCCGTCAAAGTTCATCACCTCAGAGGTGTTCGAATCCGCTTCAACTCTGACATGACCAAAATCAGCATAGCATTCAGTGCTGGCATCGCTGCCACCGTGTACATGAATACCGAGGTGATGTCTTTCATCGCTCAACTGGACACACATTTCCAGGGTCAAGTTCAAGGACTTCTTGGAAACCTAAACGGAAACCCAGATGACGATCTTCAGTTCCCAAACGGAACCATTCTGGAGCCCGGTTCTCCGCTGAAAGAACTTCATGAGTTTGGCTTGAAGTGGTTGGTGGCTCCAGAGGAGTCCATATTCACCTACATTTCCCCATTTGACTACAGCACATACCACTTTCCTAAGTTTTCCCCGACCTTCGAGGTTCCTGATCTGAACCAAGTGAGTCAGGAAATCATGGACCTGTGTGGCGATTCCATTGATTGCGTCTTTGATGCGGTAATCACCGGCAGCCTGTCTTTTGCTAACGAGACTCTTGTGGTGACAGTCACAATAGCTGAAGTCAAGAAAGGATTGGTCAAGATTGTCAGCTGTGGCTACCCGGGTGATGTGGAGAACGGGTTGCTGTCGGGGTCTGTGTATCTCGTGAATGCCTCAGTAGATGTGGCTTGTGATGATGGCTTCACCTTGAAAGGGTCCTCCAAATTGACCTGTCTTGAGGATGGTCAGTGGTCGTCTGATCTCTCTGTTTGTGATGACGTCAACTGTGGCTACCCGGGTAATGTGGAGAACGGATTGCTGTCAGGGTCTGTGTATCTCGTGAATGCCACTGTGGATGTGGCTTGTGATGATGGCTTCACATTGAATGGGTCTTCCAGATTGACCTGTCTTGAGGATGGTCAGTGGTCGTCTGATCTCCCTGTTTGTGCTGGCATAAAAAATGGAGAGAAGGAAGGGCTAGCACCCGGCATCATAGCTGGTTTTGTTGTTGGTGCCGTGATTGCTGTACTTGCAATCTGTGGTCTGATTTACATTTTGAGGAGGAGAAACATGAAGAGAAACAAGTACAAGGTGGTCCATACGCGAAATGTTTATTTTTCTAAGACACAGCCATGCAGTGACGATTGACGAAATCGTTGACTCTAATTAATGTTCTAGTCGGTTCTGGTTGCATTTAGGCCATGTCGAAGTAAGAAGCTCAATAACACTGCAGAGGTATCGCAACAGCCGTTGCAAATGTTTGCTTTTGATCATGATCATTATAGCCAAATCATTAATTAGTACAATTTATATCGCCGCGCTTTATATGTAGACCTTTTAGCCAGCTTATTAGATATAATTTCGCTTAGATTACCAAGAAAAAATATGAATTGAATTACACAATCACCTGCGTACATAACCAGGATATGAGTCTGAATCGGATGCATATTTGTAACAATAAGCAGAATTTGTTATAAAACCAAGTACCTGCCAATTAAAAATTGTATGATTCTATGGTATTTCGTGAAAATGAAATTGAGTTTTGAAAACGACAGTTATATAATTAATGTATTCAAACATGAACATTTTATGTATACTAAATTTATTATGTAAAAGTGATTGCTCTTGTAACGTCATTACAAAAAACGGAATGAAATTAATATGGTTTATAGGTTTTATAATGTTAATGGTTGAATGGTGTTTTAAACTTTGCTTTATGAAAACTTTCCAAATAGCCGTTTGCTTAGACTTTTGTACAGAGTCGGTTTATTTTCAGAATGTTTATGTTTCAAAGGTAAAGGGTTTTTAAACCCTTTTTAATCAATTAAAATTGATTTCAGAATTTAATAACAAGATAACATTTTAATTCCTTTTTTTCATTTAATATTTCACAAATTTTAAAAGTACAATTCGCGGTTATTTATGTATTAAATGTTTTGATTTTAAAGGTTCGTTGAAAATCGAACATAATTGTAGTTATTAATTCTTAGGTTGTAACGAATGTAGATGGTTTAACCGATAAACGGTTGTCAATACAGAATGAAGACTGTCAGCTAGTTGGACCATGTCATGAATTTTTCTTGGGAGCATATTTTGTGAAACTTTCTATTCCTGTTATATGCATGAAAACCCTTTGACATCCCTTTTTGGTTAATCATTTTTGAAAGGTGCACTTTTTGAAACATTTTAAATGATCCGTGGACATGCTTTCTACCAAATAAAGATCATAACTTCAAAACTTAATTATTTAGTTACGCATTTTCTCTGCACTTCAAGCTACGATTTTGGTTTTATTTAATGAAAAGGAGGCCATTAAAAGAGCTTTAATATGATGTACAACTTGGCTTTCTGGATGCTATGGTTTTGAAGATACAAGTATTTAAAGTTCGGAGGTCATGCTATTTAGTCAAATGTTGGTTGACCCGTATCCCAAAAACTAATGAGCCAAATTCCAAAAAAAACAAACCAATTCCGGGGGTTTTCTCATATAGGCCAATCATCACAACAAATTTCGTTTAAATCTGTGAGTCGGGTAAAAAATCGTGTTGATCTGACACGGAATGACCTCTCAGCTTAGAGTAGAACAAGCCAACGATAACGTAACGTATGACTATTAAGGAATAAACGAAAATATTGAAATTACTACGTATTTCTGTCTAAACGAATTACAGCCTAGTAGATTTAAATACTTTTTAAGTATTATGGAGTGAATAGATTATCATACTTATTATTAAGATTATTGTTATTGGCATGGGTGTACTTCAAATTGGTTTACTTTGCCGTTGAATTGTGATCAGACTGCTTGAACAGGTTTTAATTAAAACTTGCAGAAATATTGCCTTTATCACAAAGTATTCTCGCTTTTAAGTTTTACAGCAAAGTATAGATTTAAGCATATAGTTAAGTGTATGAGATGTATCAGTGAGTATCAATTTAATATGCAAAGTGTATTTGCCTAAAGGTTTTAATTAAAATATGCAGAAACTTTGCATTTGCTGTAGCATATATTTTCCGCTTAGAAGTATTACAGCGAAGTAGATAGACCGACTGTTGTTTTGAATATCATATCATCGTAAAAATAGTTTAACAGCAAGATGTATATAACACTGATTTAACTTTGATTGTACTCAGATTTGAAACGGGGATTGCAAAGGTTTGTTATAAAAATGTCATGCATGCAGAATTTATTTCGAAAGTCATGGTAACATCTATCAATCGAGTGTTCATTATCATGAGTGGAGTGTTTGTGATTTGTCAACAAAATATATTCAATCCGAAGGGCCATTGAAAACAGCCAACTACATGTATAATTGTATTTATTCACTTCAAAGCCTCATCTACCCCCTCCCATCCTAGCCACCCTCTTTGAACAATCAAGGATCCACCTCTTTGATTTTCAAAACTCCAGTGACAGCCACGTTGTGCAACAGATTCAGGTAACAAAGATTTCCTAATCCAGATTGGTTTTCTTAACGCGGGACGAAGGTGCAGCTTGTTGATTCTACGAAGTAAGCAATCCAATTGATAATGAAATTTCAACGACTTCATAAAATTTCAACGACTTGCGTCACCATCATTGGTCAACCTGATTATTTAAACACAGGGAACTTCCCCTTAAAAGTGCTGACATCCTTCTAATCTCTTCAAGGTCTTAGTTTAACACTAGACTTGGAATATAAACAGTGTCATCTAGCAGTCAGCCCCCCCCCCCATCCCTCCCCCAATTAAAACAGACCTTACCATATACGGGACTATCAGGAAAAAGATCGGCCAAATGTAACAATCTCCCACAGGTAAGGTATAGGCCTAGGCCTAATGAGGAGATCAAAAACTTTGATCTGTGAAACTGTACCGGATGAAAAACTGTACCTGTAGCCGGGAAAGATTGCCATATGATATTAGACACTATAGCAGAACTGTAGCTATTGAGGGGGTAGTAACAGGTCTTACAAGATAGATTCTTGGGTAAAAAGACCAGATGCGCTTTAGGAACCGAGGAGAAAAATCGAAAGATAACAAGTCATATATCATACGTAGACCTATATTTCACAAATTTCCAGGAAAACGATCTGCCAAAGTTAACAATATCGAAATGTCAATGGTCAACCCACCAAAAATTGAAAAGACAAAAATGAAAGATGATAATGTTGATCATCATTATTCTGTGCAGCCTGAACACATGTGAGAGTTTTGAGTTTTGAATATTTTAACTATTTTTAAAAGAATTTTTAATTATGGGGACTTATTACTTGTGTACATGGTATTTTTTTAAACTGCACCCTATAGACTTACAAAAATAAGGGTTGGGAAGAGCTGGAACTCAATTTACACATGAGGGTGCTATTGACCAATCCGTAGGCAGGAATACGTATTAATCGTTGTGTGTGTGTCTTATGTCGCAGCTTCAAAGACAAACATGCAAGTTTAGTTTGAAAATAATTGCCCTTCTTCTCCCCAACAATCCTTCCTTTGTAATGCGTTGCAACTGGTTCGGTTGAGAAAGAGGAGGCGTTTTATTCAAGCCAAATAAGAAGTTGAACACCCAGTCTTGTTTAGATGTAGGTTTAGCTAATTTGTTACACGAAACAATATAGCGCCGTGATGTGCCAAACGGCCTATTCCCTACCAAACCTGGGAGCTTAGGCCAAAAAAAAAAGTCTCCGGTTTCTGGTATGCGCGCGCGTCGCCGTAGCCATGCGCGTCGGCAAAATGAAAAAGTTTTTTTTTCAATGAAAGATGATGTCTCAAAACTGCCAAACTCACTGGTTTGACTGGAATCCTGCTGCTGCACAATTTTAACGTGTTTTTAGATTGGGTTATGGTCGAGAATAAGCTTTATGTGGCCTCTCTGGACTCCCATATATTTGCACTAAGTTTAGTCGGGCATCATTTGCAGTCATCAGCACACATATGAAGCAAAAAAATCAGGTAAAAAAAAAAAAAGCCGTGTCGCCGCACCACTTTTTGGGCAAGCTCCATACAAGAAACCGGAGACTTTTTTTTTTGGCCTATTCCCTACCAAACCTGGGAGCTTATCCTTGCAGGGTAAACATAAATGTGTATTAACAAATATCGCATGACATTCAACACGGATTATAGCAGCTGCATGTTCCAGCGGTTGGAACAATAATTGATTGTAATTTACTTTTGTATATTCAACATTCAAAGGGTGGATATTCTTTGATTAAAATGGCTCCGATGCTTTGCGTCCACGCTCATTCGAATCATTGGGGTTTAAGCCATGGATTAGGAGTGCCTGCACAATAACAAATGTTCAAAATGCACTTGGTAATTTTGTTGTTATTACAACAATATTTAGACTGACACTTTTTTGGAGACATACCATACATAGTAATCACCGAGGCCTGTTTAAAGCGGATTACTGCCCCCGAGTTCCAGCTCACAGAAACGCTGTAGGAGGATCATGAAAACAATCTGTCATCCACCCTAAACTCATTTCCCCCTTCAAAAATCCACAGTGCGTAAATAGTCTGTAGTCATGTCATAACCACTTCCAAACCGATTTTCCGTAATAAACTTTTCAGGTCGATGCTATACTTTCCAAAGCGAACCTTTGAGGCGGATTTTGGATTTCCCCGTCTGTTTAAGTGCGCAACGCTCGCCGTCCTAGTCTGTGGAATAGACAATGTCCTGCTATAGCGTGTATGATATGCGTGAAGTTTATGCAAAACAGCACTACGTCTTGACCTGCAGATTCTAACCTTCTATTCTGTCTTAGGTAACCCGATGCTGTATGAACTACTAATCGTCAGGCATTGACGTCTAGGGTTCTCACAACTTTCTGTTCGCTTTGTGGTGTTATTTGTTCTTTTCAGATCAAATAATACTTGCCACTGAGCTGAATGCACTATGCACATTTCAGCTGAGATCGGGTCAGAACCAAGGTCACAATGTGTTTTTTTTATCTCTTTATTTGGTGGTGCGCTGTTTGTTCTCACTTTAACCAACGTTATTGTGCTGAAATGTCAGGTGACTCATCAGCAGCATACAGCTTGTGACCTCAGCCAAGTTTGGAAGAAAAAAAAGTCAACAAAAGAGAGCAGTGAAAATCCCAGGTAAGCGAAACAGGCTCATTGTATGCTTTGTCTGGGGACCGTGTCCCAATCAACATGTGCATGAAGTGCACAGTTTTATTTACAACTGATGAAATTCTCATGAATATCCGTTAATGCTAACTTGACTTATTTAAAGATCTGATTTGGCTCCATTCCAATGGAAAAGCTGACGTAACTAAAAGCATATATAACGCCAATAAGAATGTTAGGCTAAATATGGACAACACAGCACCTGACACTCCACAATCCAAATGTCCATGAAACATGGTTAAGTAGTCTTGTATAAGCTAGATTCTAACATTATCTCCGACATGAATATGTTCTGATAAAACACAATTTTAAGTCTCATGTAATAATTGAGGTAGGGCCTTCGAGTCTTGGATCTGTCTTGAACTACAAAAGATGCACACACCAGTATCTACTGCAACACAAAATCCCTCTACTGTTTGATTTCCATTAAGGTGGGGTAAAATTAGCATTTGAAGAGCTGTGATATCTCTGGATTTAATGAAAAGATTTTCACAGGAATTGGAGTAGTAGGCAAGACTGTATTTAAAAGTACTATCAAAATTGAAAACTAAATGTATGATTCCTTTTTAAGGCAGGTACGATTTGCTAACTTGCCAACCGATAAAAATAGAACACATTCAACAACAGGGCTGACCCGATGCTCACCCCAAATAATAATAAAAGAGAGGACCTACCAAAATTAGATCGTCCTTGTTTTGCAATTTTTCCCAGGAAAAAAATAAGTCGTAACAATTCCATACATGGACATGACTTTACGCTCTACCTAACTACTACAATACAAGGGACTTTACCTGATATTTCCCCGCTGAGTGTTGCAATCTCTACAGAATAATAGTGTACATCATAAAGAGGGATTTCAAAATAATTACTGCACATACTTGCTCATACTGCACAATGACATTGGTCTATAGGTATATACATGTACGATTTTCGTCTTAAAGTGATTGGTGATACATAATCTACGCAGGTATACTTTTTGAGTTGCAGACAGAGTCTGATTTAGCTCTATTCCAATAAAATATGAAGTGAAAGCTAACGCCACTAAGTATTCTATATTTGTACGACACAGCACCTGACACTCCACTTTCTAAATGTCTATTAGGCATGGCTATGTTATCTTGTATAAACAATATTTAAACGTTACAAACTTTGCTGACCCAATGCTCACCCCAAACGCTACAAAAGAGAGGACCTACCCAAATTTGTTTGCCCTTGATTTCGCAATTTTTTCCAGGTACAAATAAGTCATACAAGGGAATTCCCCCGAACGTTCCCGGCTGAGTTTTGCAATCTTTTCAGGGAAATATTTTACATAACAAAGAGGTTTTTCAAAACAATTGTGTGTTATGCTCATACTGCACAATTCCATTGGACTACACGTACGTACACGATTCTCGCTGTAAAGTAATTGGAAATACATGTTCTACGCAGTTGCACTTCTGGTACTGCGGACAGACTGACAGGGAGTTTCTCTAGGAAATTAGCAGAAAAATCGAAAGGTATGTTTGTATTTGTTTCCATGGCCATATCGCCAAATTTTGTTAAATCTTCGACCTGAATTTAAATGGTACACTATTGGGAATTCCAAATGTTCAACTGATTCCAAAACATTTTGTTTCCATTAATAGTTTCGTTCCAAGAGATAGTTAGTTATCCAAGAAATGTTTGACAAGTGTTGTTCCACTATTTACTGGTATTATATATGGTTTCTGATTTTCAGAAAGCACGAAAAACATTTCAGTTTCCAACGTTATACACTCGTTACATTTCACATTGGTTGATTAAAAGTCGTATGTTATGCATGGAATACTTGGCCATTGTAATATACGAATTTGTTGCAAAGTCGAAATATAAAGGGCTGGTTACTGAAGTGCACATTGTTAGTAAATTCTAACAATGTTTTGTGATCGATTGATATTTTTTATTGAATGGAATCCCAAATTTCTGTATTTGCTCAGAGGTTAGAAAGCTCTGCTCATAATTTTCGATCGTATAACCAGAGTTGTAATGACTCGAGTCAATGACTCGACTCGAGTCCGACTCGGTGACTCGACTCGACTCGAGTCCTGACAGGTAAATGACTCGACTCGACTCGAGTCACTGCGAGCAAATGACTCGACTCGACTCGAGTCCCTCATCAGAATGACTAGACTTGACTCGAGAAAGGCTAATAAGACTCGAGTCCCAAAAATAAAAGCAAAACTTACTTGCGAAAAATATTTGCAATGACTTACGCCGCGCCGTTCGCGTTGCCAGTTTTTGTTCACGTCACGTTATGTTCGCGAATTATGTACGTTCATATACAGCGGCCGTCTGTTTTCCTTCCTCCATAATGATACAACAAACATACACCGTGTCGCGGACTCCCACCTTGTGGTTCTATAGCATGTAATGCTAAACCCGGAACCAGACTTAAAACGCATTTCTCAATCCGTGGTTTCATCATTGGTTTCGGGCGATTTCTTATAAAGCTCTTGGTGGAACGCTGGCTAAATTGATGTCCCGATTTCACACACACACAAAATGGATACAGATGGGACCACCTTTAAATAATCAGAAACAGTTTTGTATAATGTAATTAGGTTTTGACGTTGTCAACGATCAGCGAACAACATAATCTAGACCCGAAGCCCAAACAGTTATAAGACCGAAGTTTCACATCTTCTTATCTGTGACGTGAGCTAGCAATGGAAACTGTTGGTTGGGTACCATACAGCATACTTTATGTCTTTGGATTTTTGTAATAGACTGGTGCCTTGTATTCTTTCTCTCTTGTGTTTGTTGCTTTTTATTGTAATTTATTATATAGTGTTCAAATATTTGTGACTCGAATTGACTCGAGCTAAATACTTGACTCGACTCGACTCGACTCGACCACACACTGTGACTCGACTCGACTCGACTCGACCTTGTTGACCTAATGACTCGACTCGACTCGAGTCACTTCTTTAAAATGACTCGACTCGACTCGAGTCACAAAAATCAGTGACTCGTTACAACTCTGCGTATAACACAAAAAACACGACCGACTGTTTTCAAAATTCTCATTTTGTGTAATAAATATTTAGGAATTTAGGAATTTGAAATGCATGGATTTAAAATTAAAGATTCTGAACTAAAAGCCTCTTTTAACGCCATCATTTTGTTTTCTTTTTAGATATATATTTTTAACTTTTTGTCCCGCTAGTCGTCCACAGTTTGTTACAGTACTGACAAATTAAAAGCTTTTATAATGGATTGGAAATCTGAAAGAAAGGGTTGTATCGTCTGACGGTTCACAGAAATCCGCATACAATGTATTTGTTTTGTCCGATGTTTCAATTTCCTTGATTTCTTGGTTCGTATTCTGTTGGCAAGAATTTGTGCTACGATTATAACTAAAACGGCGAAGCCGCCATGTCTTGCTGTCGAAGGCGGGAAGGGAGGGATCAAGGTAGGGTTGGAGATGGGCATGATGAAAGGGGATCATACGAAAGCCCGTTAGTGCCATCGAATGTATAAATTGCTCTTTTGCAAGTATATGTTTGGTAAATCTTGTTTTTCGGATGTATATGTTTGGTGAATCTTGTTTTTCGGATGTATATGTTTGGTGAATCTTGTTTTTCGGATGTATATGTTTAGCAAGTCTTGTTTTTTGGATGTATATGTCTAGCAAGTCTTGTTTTTTGGATGTATATGTTAAGCAAATCTTGTTTTTTGCAAGTATATGTTTGGCAAATCTTGTTTTTTGCATGTATATGTTTCCCGAGTCTTGTTTTTTGCAAGTATATGTTTGGCAAGTCTTGTTATTTGCTAGTATTAATTTGGCAAATCTTGTTTTTGCAAGTATGTTTCGCAAGTCTTGTTTCTGTGAAGTCTATTTTTAGTAACAGTCTTGTTTTTTGCAAGTATGTGTTTCCCGAGTCTTGTTTTTTGCAAGTATATTTCGCGAGTCTTGTTTTTGTGAAGTCTATTTTTAGTAACAGTCTTGTTTTTTTGGAAGTATATGTTTCCCGAGTCTTGTTTTTTGCATGTTTATGTTTCCCGAGTCTTGTTTTTTGCAAGTATGTTTCGCAAGTCTTGTTTCTGTGAAGTCTATTTTTAGTAACAGTATTGTTTTTTTGCAAGTATATGTTTCCGAGTCTTGTTTTTTGCAAGTATATGTTTCCCGAGTCTTGTTTTTGTGAAGTCTATTTTTAGTAACAGTCTTGTTTTTTGGAAGTATATGTTTCCCGAGTCTTGTTTTTTGCAAGTATATGTTTCCTGAGTCTTGTTTTTTGCGAGTATATGTTTCCCGAGTCTTGTTTTTTGCAAGTATATGTTTCCCGAGTCTTGTTTTTTGCAAGTATGTTTCGCAAGTCTTGTTTTTGTGCAGTCTATTTTTAGTAACAGTCTTCTTTTTTGCAAGTATATGTTTGGCGAGTCTTGTTTTTTTTTTAAAGTATATATGTAGGGACCCGCGATCTGCTACTCCCCACACAAAATTGTTGCACCCCTATTTTTATTTTTGGAATAGTCCTACTAGCTTGTACATGTACTTGTAGCTGCATAACATGTGGTCCATGTAATAATGGTACGGTATCCGGTCACTTCGGCACCTTGGCAACTCGGCACCTGCCAACTCGGCACCTTGGCAACTCGGCACCCACCAACTCGGCACCCACCAACTCGACACCCACCAACTCGACACCTGTACAAAAACCAGTTTGGCACCTAGCCGACTCGGCACCTGACATACTCGGCACCTCCCCATGTGCACAATTCGAAATGTTTCTCAGTAATCAGTCCGCACATAACTGATTTTCATTGAGCTGGTAAATACGCTGTTACGTTCGTTGACAGTTCCTCCGATATTTTGAGTACGGGTAGCAAGCACTGTACGCTGGCCGTCACCGGTCAACGCTTGTCCTTCCAAGTCCACGGCAACGATGCACTGCGCCTGGCCTGGCCGCACATCCACACCGGCCATCGCCACGGTGCACGGCCGGTGACAGTGCCGTGCTTGACCGCACATGCCCTCCGGCCATCGCCACCGCGCACGGCCGGTGACAAGTGCCACGCCTGGCCGCACAGCGCCAACATTTCCAGCCCCCCCCAACAAAAAAACGAGATGGGGCATTGGTTGTGAATAACGGCAAGACACAATTTTGCTTTCGGGATGACAGGTGCCGAGTTGGTCAGGCGCTGAGTTGGAAGTTGTGAGAAAGAAGCAAAATTTGGGTGCCGAGTTGGCCAGGTGCCGAGTTGGCTGTGTGCCGACCAAATGCCGAGTTGACAAGGTGCCGAGTTGGCAAGGTGCCGAGTTGGTGGGTGCCGAGTTGCCAAGGTGCTTAAGTGACCGGATACCGTACCATTGTTACATGGACCACATGTTATGCAGCTACAAGTACATGCTGTACAAGCTAGTAGGACTATTCCAAAAATGAAAATAGGGGTGCAACAATTTTGTGTTGGGAGTAGCAGATCGCGGGTCCCTACATACATGTATATACTTTTAAAAAAAACCAAGACTCGCCAAACATATACTTGCAAAAAACAAGACTGTTACTAAAAATAGACTTCACAAAAACAAAACTTGCGAAACATACTTGCAAAAAACCAGACTCGGGAAACATATACTTGCAAAAAACAAGACTCGGAAAACATATACTTCCAAAAAACAAGACTGTTACTAAAAATAGACTTCACAAAAACAAGACTCGCGAAATATACTTGCAAAACACAAGACTCGGGAAACATATACTTGCAAAAAACAAGACTGTTACTAAAAATAGACTTCACAAAAACAAGACTTGCGAAACATACTTGCAAAAAACAAGACTCGGGAAACATATACTTGCAAAACACAAGACTCGGGAAACATATACTTCCAAAAAACAAGACTCGGGAAACATATACTTGCAAAAAACAAGATTCGCCAAACATATACATCCAAAAAACAAGACTTGCTAAACATATACATCCGAAAAACAAGATTCACCAAACATATTCATCCGAAAAACAAGATTCACCAAACATATACATCCGAAAAACAAGACTCGGGAAATATATACTTGCAAAAGAGCAATTTATACATTCGATGGCACTAACCGGCTTTCGTAGTACCAGGATTCAGGATGATGTGCCAAGGTGTAGGGGTCAGTTTTTAAATGCCAACAAAAAAAGTCAACAAACGTCCTTATAAATACATGCATGTGTACATTGGATAACCGTTACCGCGTTATGGGGACGTTTGCCATTGTTAGTGTAATTAGGACCTACCCGGTAGTTGTGGGGAATTTTTGCAGCCTCAACAGCGTCTTTGGTCCTGATATTACCATGGGTGAGCTCGTGTGTAGTCCCCACAAATGCGAAACAAGAATGGTATATTCATGTAGCCACACCACCATCACCACACCCCCCAAACCTTACCCCATCCCCGCCCCTACCCACATCCACCCCATCCTCTCCCTACCCATTCCAACCTACCACCTACACATCCCCACCCCATCCCAACTCCAATCCCTATCAACCTCCCCTCCCCCACCCCAACATCAGCACCCATCCCATTCTCCCCTATACCCATACCCACCCATACATCCCCACCCCACCACAACCACTACTCCAATCCCTATATCCCAGCCCTCCACCATCCCCTCCCCTAACCCAACATCTACACCAACCTACCCCACACCCACCTACCCCACCCCCTACCCATCCCCACCTAACCCTACACCCCAAGCCCCTTCTCTAACCCCTATGGTAATACCCTTGGTATAACATAGGCTTTTATCTGCTTATCGCAGCTCGCCAAACAAGGCAGAATAGGGGACACTGGCCTCATTGTGTAGTGTGAACAGTGTTTTAATCAAATGAATAAACTTTCTCAAACAGTTAAATACTCACGCGCTTTTAATAAAATGACAGATCCTACTGTATCAAAAGACTTAACGTAGTCTAAAAGAGAACCGCCAAAATCTTATATCGGCGTTTCGTTTCTTTCTGTAGGGTCACGTTTACAGCACTTCCTGGAAGCATAGCCGTGTATTTCTTTGGACAGGACGTTCTGTGGCTTGCCATAAGTTGACCAGGTGAGATCAAAATGTTACATCAGGTCACGAAGGAAATGTTATTATAAGGACGACCCTTATAATTCTTTGGTTCTCAGTTTCGACCGACCCTATTTTGGGCTCTCGACCCAAGACCCTTTTTTGTTTATTATCGCCGTCCTTGTTTTGCACCCCCTAAAACAAGCAACAAATACATACATGAAAAACAAAATAAATACCAAATTGAGGCAATCAGGTTTTTTTTGTCATTGAGGGAGCTATTGCTAATAACCCAACTTCTACACCACCTACCCCAGACCCACCTACCCCACCCCCTACCCATCCCCACCTAACCCTACACCCCAAGCCCCTTCTCTAACCCCTATGGTAATACCCTTGGTATTACATAGGCTCGCATCTGCTTCGCAGCTCGCCAAACAAGGCAGAATAGGGGACATTGGCCTCGTTGTGTAATGTGAACAGTGTTTTAATCAAATGAATAAACTTTCTCAAACAGTTAAATACTCACGCGCTTTTAATAAAATGACAGATCCTACTGTATCAAAAGACTTAACGTAGTCTAAAAGGGAACTGCCAAAATCTTATAATCGGCGTATCGTTTCTTTCTGTAGGGTCACGTTTACAGCACTTCCTGGAAGCATAGCCGTGTATTTCTTTGGACAGGACGTTCTGTGGCTTGCCATAAGTTGACCAGGTGAGATCAAAATGTTACATCCAGTCACGACAGAAATGTTATTATAAGGACGACCCTTTTATTTCTTGGTTCTCAGTTTCGACCGACCCTATTTTGGGCTCTCGACCCAAGACGCTTTTTTTTGTTTATTATCGCCGACCTTGTTTTGCACCCCCCAAAACAAGTAAAAAATACATAAATGAAAAACACAAATAAATATCAAATTGAGGCAATCAAATTTTTTTGTCATTGAGGGAGCTATTGCTAATAATATTCGATTTCGCGAGAAGTACCGCGAAAAGCAACCGATGCAGTCCCAGAGGATGCGAGGGTGTTGCCTCTTATAATATCCGCTAAAACCTTATTAAGCTGCATGATACAGATAATTATCATGTTAGTCAACTACATCTTGCCAAAGATGGCCTGACTATTTCAGGCCTCACAGTGCCCCTCCTCATCAATGTAGATTTTTTAGCTGTGGGATAGCAGCTCAACAAAAAAACTTGTCTCTCCGTTTGGCCAAAAAAAAATGTCTCCGGTTTCTGGTATGGAGCTTGCCCAAAAAGTGGTGCGGCGACGCTTTTTTTTTTTTTACTTGTATTATTTTGCTTCAAATGTCGGCTGATGACTGCAAATGGTACCCGACTAAACTTAGTGCAAATATTATGGGAGACCAGAGAGGCCACAAAAAGCGTATTCTCGATCATAACCCCATCTAAAAACACGTTAAAATTGTGCAGCAGCAGGATTCCAGTCAAACCATTGAGTTTGGCGGTTTTGAGACATCATCTTTCATTGAAAAAAAAAACTTTTTCATTTTGCCGATGCGCATGGCTACGGCAACGCGCGCGCATACCATAGACACCGGAGACTTTTTTTTTGGCCTTAGTCCGTTGGTTAGTTAGTAACAAACATTTACATCGTCTATTACTCCTACTATTTGACCGATTTCAACCAAAATTTGGCTCAAGTTTCAGTAGCCCAGCCCCAACATGTTACATGACCAAGCTGGGATCAAAGGTCATCATGGGGTCACTGGGGTCAAAAACCTGAATTATTAAAATCAAAACACTAATCTTTCCAGAAATTACATGGCACAATCACGTGACTCATGCATGAACATGAATTCGTTGGCCCGCAGCTTCTGAGATATTTCCGATCGAGCTTGTTTTATTAGCTTGTAAAATTCAAAATTTAGGTTTTTCTTCAGGTTGTCCATACAAGCACCACAACACTGGCAATTATTTTGGATGCAAAACTGTTCCCTTTTTTAGCATGAGGTTGCAAAAATATAGTGAATTGCTAAATTCTTTACGGTAGAAAAATTTATCAATTTCATGTAACATAAACACTTGTATCAGTCTTAGAGAGGTAGGCTTATATTGATATTATGATTACTATTGGAATTATTGACTGTCGGTCAAAGTGATTCTTACAGTTTTTATTATAGGCTATATAGGTTGATTTAAACATAAAATAGGTTCCCGAGTTGAAATAGTACTTTATATGTTACAGATTACGTTGTGAGGCCTGCCAATTGAGCAATATCAACTCAAGATCAACTCTTTGCAATACAACAAAGGGACAATACCACACTTTGCATAATTTATTTCAGCAATCTTTACGGGTGCAAACAGAGTTTTTTTCCGCAGGTTTTATATATTTTTTGCCGACCTACCAACCTTACTTAATGAGCAAGGCAGTATTTGTTATTTGTTATCCGTTACTTCGTATGTATCAAACCCGGAAATGAACATCATCTCAATTTAAGTTATGCAACCGAAATAGATTGTATAATTACATGCATATATTTTTGTAATTTGACAGAAGTCTAGGGTGCTCCACTACAGAAGGCTTTGTCCTCTCGGATGTCGCCCCCATTCATATAATTTTTTGTTCCAGATATATAGTATTTGTATAATTAATTTTGTTATTGTATCATTTTGTGTATTCTTTCTTGATTTTATATGAACGGAAATTAAAACAAACAAACAAACAAACACCCCAACAACCCCAACAAACAAACAAACAAACAAACACCCCAACACCCCAACAACCCAACAAACAAACAAAGAAACAAGCAAACAAACTTCAGAGGCCAAAATATAAGAACCATGGAAATAAAAGGGACGACCTCTTGTGAACTCCGTTACAGTAGCGGCATTGAATGATTGACATACTGCTTAATACCAGAAAGGGTCAAAATATGTTAGTGCTTGTAGATTTAGGCAATCCTTTGGTTTTGCCTATTTTATGGGTGGAGCTAATTTCTTGTATAAGAGAGAGCACACGAGCCAAACTCAGCAAAACGGTCTTAAACAATTGTGCATGCTTTACATTTATTTATTCCAGTATTTATTTTATTAAAAAGTGTAATTCATAGAGGTTTTATTTCCCATTTTGTGGTCAATGTGTGCAAGAGGCGGAATATTTGAGCTGATAAGTTCAATTCCTGCTCAAATGTCCGTATTTAATAGTAAAAACAAAATAAATCTTTTGTTGTGATCTAAAGAGCTTAAACGGGTCCCATTTCCCTTTTAACACCAAGATTGGAAGATCCAGGGATGTGGTCAAATATTAGGGTACTTACAAAAAGAATTTTTATTTTTTAGTTATAATGAATTAAGCAGGCACGCAGCAAAATTCCTCTAAGCAGTTGACAGAAAAAGTGATAGCCTAAAGTTCAACGCTCAACTACAACTTCCAGTGACATTTTAATTTTCAGCGCTACCTTTCAAATCAACCCCCCCCCGCCCCAGAAAATACAAACACAAAGACAAACACGTCGTAGATCCATACATGTGTGAAAATTGGTTAAAAGTAAGTGTTTAAATTGCTAAAGTTGCTAAAGTTGCTAAATTTGCTAAATTGCTAAATTTTTAACACGGTATTTACAGTGTTTAATCAAAATCGCCACTAAAAAGATTTTTTTTATATTCGAACTTTTCAATGTTCGAAAACTGTTTGCGGCTCCTTACAGAACTGTCATGTTTATACCAAAAGTGCAGCATTGTACCCTAAAGAACCTTTCCTCTCCAGTATACCGCCTTTTAACACACGTGGGCCACGCCCAAAAAAATACAAAAAAAATTGGATATTTTGGCAACAACGTTGTTTTGGAAACGCCTGTTTTTAAGTGAACGACAAAAATTGTTCGGTAATTAAAGTTTTTTTTTTTTCAGAATGAAGCCTGTGATGAAGAGACATCTTTTCTGGCTGGTGATTTGTATGGCCTTTGTATTACCAGAAATGCCGGTGTCTGCTCTGGATCTGCAGTTACCTGGTACCAATCAGCCCAAATGCTCTGGAATCTCAAGAGGTAAACGCTTTATTATTGGCTTTACCGATAACACCGATGAATACTCTCATACAAGGAAGCTGTACATTCTCGTGGTTGCTTTTAGCAATCAGCAAACCTCCGTTACTATCAGCAGTAAGTTTCAAGTGGATGGGGAGCAGTTTCAGGAGAGTTTTGTGATAGAAGCAGGTGGATATCGACGAATCAATGTTCCAGCTGAACTAATCATGAACGGCAACGAAAGAAGTGTGAAAGGAATCGAAATAAGGGCTTCTAGTGAAGTGTCTGCGTACGGTCTGATTTACCAAGATTACACAACGGATGGTTTTCTTGGTATACCCACAAACAATCTGGGTATGCAGTACGTGATTGTAACACCTACGCAAGGTTTTTTGCCGTCACAGTTTTCTGTCATCGGTACAGAAGATTCCAGCTCGGTTCAGGTTACATTACAGGGCACTGTTACATTCGAAGGACAGACTTATAATGCTGGTGACGTGCTGAGCTTCATGGTAGATAAGTTAGAAGCCGTTCACATCCAAGGACGTGACAGATCACAGGACTTGACAGGAAGTATTGTTCAGACCAACAAACTGGTATCTGTGTTCAGTGGTAATGAATGCGTAAGGCAGAGCGGTTCAGCTTGTGATACAGTGACAGAGCAATTGGTACCCGTCAAAAGTTGGGGGCAGAAACACATCTACACAGCAGCCCGAGATGATGACGGCAACAACTACAAGGTTGTTGCTTATTTGAGTGGAACAATCGTTACAATCCCTGGAATTCAAGATCAGTCACTGGAACCGGGAGAATTTTGGGAGGGTAGCTTGTCCGGTTCTGGACTCGTGTCGTCCAGTAAACCAACCCTGATGATGCAGCAGTTGGCATCCGTAAACGGCAGGACGGTCGACCCTTCATTTATTCAGGTTCCTGCAGAGGAACACTTTGGGTTTGTGTTTGGATTCACGACCCCTCCTCATTCTGGAGGTGATTCCGGTGGTTACTTCAATTTCATCAATATCATTGTGAAAAATGATTCCCGAGAAACTGTATATCTTAATAGTTTTCCAATCAACGGTACAAATACACACGAAAGTAATGTTCCCCACACTAATTACATATCACTTACGGTTCAACTGCCAAAAGGTGAAGGTGTCTACTACGTCGAACAAACAGATCCGTATTCATCACCCCTGTCTGTCATTGTATATGGATATGAATCTTACGAGACATATGGCTACGCTGCTGGTCTGTCTCTACCAAGCAATAAACAAGTGCTGAGTTTGAAACCTTACTATTTGCGAGAACTTGGTGGCGAGCTTTTTACAATGACTGTTCCCTGTTTGCAGACAAACGCTATATCTTTTCAAGAAGCACAGTGCAAATTTTCCACTGGCTTTGGAGACGTCATTGTTTCTGGTGAACGCACCGACTCTTACACTGTTGTCTGCATCACTCCCACCTTTTACAAGAACGGACTTACATCTGTCTATGTATCACTTGACGACGGTGAATCATTTCCATACTCCGGCATTGTCTACGTTGCATCTGAAGAGGATCTGCCGCCACTCGTTGAAATCCAACAGGTGAATTCTGAGTATGGAGATGGCATCATTGACCTAACCTCAGATGATCCGATCATGTTCTCCTGGGATCCTAGAAGTCTTGGTGAAGGAGTTTCACAAGTTACTGTTATGATGCAAGACACAGATTACAACGGCGATGTGAATCCAGTCTTGATGGAAGGGGTTACAGTGAAGAGCAATGTCTTGAACAACGGTAGTCTGATGATATATCCAAGAGACCTCCAATCCCTCACCAGTGCTGGTTTGTCACTCACTGCATTTTATCTTACTCCCTCTGCATTGAGAAGACGAAGAAATGTTGGAGCTTTGTTGTGGCGCTTAAGAAGATATTATGGTCCTGCTGCAATTATAGTTACTGCAATCACCTGTGAAGTTTCAAAGTACCAGTTAAAGAAGACTGTGCCTACAGGACTGCCTCCATGTCCTTGCAACACGGGACAAGCTTTTCGAGACCTGAACTTCCAAGAGGCGAATTTTGCGAATTTCTTCTTCCATCCGGGTGCTGATAACTGTTACCGGTCTGTTAATTCATTGCCGACTGGAGCAGGTCAACAGTGTTGTTACGGAACAGACGGTAATATCCTGGTAGGTCCCCCTGGGGGAGGAACAGCCGATAGGTACAGTCCAGGAGAGCATTTCTGGAAGCATCAATGGTTCGATGTTCTTCCTTGGCTTTGCTTATGCAAACTGTCAAACAACTGTAAAGAATATTACAAGTACAGGCCATCGGATGATTGTTCTGACTACGACCCACCTCGCCCGGCTGGGGGCACTGGGGATCCTCATCTGACAAGTCTGGATGGCTACAAATTCACTTTCAACGGAGCCGGGGAATTTCTGATGGCGTCTTCTGCAGTACATAACTTAACCTTTCAATCTCGTATGGAGAGGTACCGCAACACCAATGCCTCTGTGTACACGGCATTCGTTCTTCAAGTGAACGATTCTTCAAAAGTCCAGGTGCAGAGGTCTGACATGAACGAGACACTGATTCTTATAGACGGTGAGCCGTTGCGTCTTGACTCCATCCCCGTCAAAGTTCATCACCTCAGAGGTGTTCGGATCCGCTTCAACTCTGACATGACCAAAATCAACATTGCATTCAGTGCTGGCATCGCTGTCACCGTGTATATGAATACCGAGGTGATGTCTTTCATTGCTCAACTGGACACACATTTCCAGGGTCAAGTTCAAGGACTTCTTGGAAACCTAAACGGAAACCCAGCTGACGATCTTCAGTTCCGAAACAGAACCATTCTGGAGCCTGGTTCTTCGCTGAAAGAACTTCATGAATTTGGTTTAGAGTGGTTGGTGGCTCTAGAGGAGTCCATATTCACCTACATCTCCCCATTTGACTACCACACATACCACTTTCCTGAGTTTTCCCCGACCTTCGAAATTCCTAATCTAGATGAAGTGAGTCAGGAAATCAAAAACTTGTGTGGCGATTCCATTGAGTGTGTCTTTGATGCGGTAACCACCGGCAGCCTGTCTTTTGCTAACGAGACTCTCGTGGTTACAGTCACAATAACTGAAGTCGAGAAAGGGTTGGTCAAGATTGTCAGCTGTGGCTACCCAGGTGATGTGGAGAACGGGTTGCTGTCGGGGTCTCTGTATTTCGTAAATGCTACTGTGGATGTGGCTTGTGATGATGACTTCATCTTGAGAGGGTCTTCCAGATTGACCTGTCTTGAAGATGGTCAGTGGTCGTCTGATCTCCCTGTTTGTGCTGCCAACTGTGGCTACCCGGGTGATGTGGAGAACGGATTGCTGTCAGGGTCTGTGTATCTTGTGAATGACACTGTGGATGTGGCTTGTGATGATGGCTTCACCTTGACAGGGTCTTCCAGTTTGACCTGTCTTGAAGATGGTCAGTGGTCGTCTGATCTCCCTGTTTGTGCTGGCATGGAAAATGGCGAGGAGGGAGGACTAGCTCATGGCATCATAGCTGCTATAGTTGTTGGTTCCGTGATTGTTGTACTTGCAATCTGTGGTTTGATTTACATTTTCATCAAAAGAAAATAAGTTTCAACAACGAAAGAAAGACTCGTCTTGAAACAGATACCACCGCACAAACCACAGTCTCTTTACAGCTGAATAACACTGTAGAGGTATCGCGAGAGCAGTGGTAAATTATTTGTTTGTTATCCCGATCATTATAGCCAAATCAACACACTAAGTAAAGTACATTAATTTCATTTTTAATCGCGCTTATAAAAGGTCGGGCCTAGACCTTCAAGCGAGCTTATCAGATAGAATTTCGCTCAGATTACCAAGAAAACATATGAAGTGAATTGCTCAGATTACCTGCGTATAATAACAAGGATAGGAGTCTGGATCGGATGCATATTTGTTTCCTTGGGTGCTTTTAAGCAGTATAGGCCTCGTAGCCCTCGTTACACGTGCACAGCGTGGAAGCCAAGGTGGAAGTTTAAATGTAGAATGTAAGAGTGCGAATTTTGTTAATTATAATTCATAACACAAACATTTCAATGTTGTACTCCTTAAGAGGCAATCATGTTGTGAAACAGGTTCTTTTCAACAGGCAAGTTATATTCCTTAAACCGATAACAAAAGAAACAAGACCCGAAAATTGTTTTAGTAAAACTAAAAGTAAGCAGAATTGTTACAAAACCAAGTAACTGTATGAATGGTTTGTCGTGAAAATTAAATTAAGTTCTGAAAACAACACTTATGCATGTATTCATATATCAACATGTTATGTATACCAATTTTATTATGTAGAAATGATTGCTTTTGTTACGTCATTACAATATACGGAATGTAGTTTTATATCGTTTATGAGTTTTATAATGTTAATGGCTATATAGTGGTGTCTTAAACTTTGCTTCATGGAAACTTCACCAATAGCCGTTTTCTTAGACTTTTCTTTAGAGTAGGTATATTTTATGACCTTATAATTTAGAAATGCAAAATGTTTTGATTGATTTCATGATTTAATATCAAGAAAAAATATCAATTCAGCTTTTCATTTCAGGTTACAAAGACTTTTTAACCACCTGTTGCGGTTGTTTACTTATGTACATGTATAGTGTTTTAATTTTAAACGTTCGTTTAAAATCAATATTGTAGTTTTCTATAAATACTTAGATTGTAACTAATGTGGATGAGTTAATTGATGAAGGGTTTTCAATAGAGCATGTAGACTGTCAACTAGTTAAAGGACCAGGACATGAATTTTACTGGGGAACATATATTTCGCAACTTTCTTTTCTTCTTAAGGCATGAAAACTATTTGAATCGCATTGTTGGTTAACATTCTTTAAACGTTTAAAATGTTCCATGCATTTCCTGACAACTGAGGGCGCTCTTGTAGTCTCTTTAGGAACACACTCTTCAGTTTAGGGGTTTTCTGTTCCAATTGTGAACCCAAAAATTTGTGAGAAAAGTTTTTGGACAAACGCAAAATTTGACTATGATGGAATTAACGAAAAGTGTACGTAAACTATTTCCGCTTTAACGAATTACAGCGCGGTAGATTGAAAGACTTTTCCAGTATTGTTGATGGGCAGGAAAAGATATATTATTTAATTGGAGGCTATTGTTATTTGCATGGTGTACTCAGTAAAATTGGTTGAATTTGTCGTTGAAGTATGGTCAGATTTGGGAAATTGTCTTGTAAACGATTGCATTAAAAGGTTTTAATTAAAACGTACAGAAATATTGCATTTAACACAAAATATTCTCGCTTTTAATTATTACAGCGAAGTAGATTAAAAGGCAATTAATTATAATCGAGTGTGTGGGATAGATATCATTGGGTTTAATTTAATATGCAAGGCGTACTTTTGTAAATGTTTTTATTAAAATGCGCAGAAAAATTGCTTTTGTCACACAATATTATCGCTTGTAAGTATAACAGCGAAGTAGATTGAAGTATAATCAAGTGTATGGGATGTTATATTATTGAGTATGCCAGGTGTATTCGCGTAAAAGGTTATATTACAATGTGGAGAAATATTGCATTTGCTATAAAATATATGTTTTGCTTAGAATTATTACAGCGAAGTAGATTTAAAGGCCTTCGAGTGTTGTTTTGGATTTCATATCATTGTAAATCAGTTGAACACCAAGATGTACTTAACATTAAGTTAACTTTGATTGTACTCAGATTTGAACCGAAAATAGCAAAGGTTTGCTTAAAAAAAGTCATGCACGCAGAATATATATCGAAAGACAGCTTAACATTTCTTAATCGAGTGTTCATTATCATGAGTTGAGTGTTTGTGATTTGTCTAAAAAATCAATTCATTATGGGATGCGCTCTGTCGCATGAAGGGAGATTGAGAACAGCCATTTGTAGCTGTATTCGTTGACTTCAACGCCTCATCTACCCCCCCCCTAGCCACCCCCTTTGAACAATTATGGATCCGCCTGATTTAAAAAAAACTATAGTTACAACTTATCGTTACAATGCTGTGCCATGCAACATATCCAGGGAACATGGATTTCCTAATCCATTTGGTTTTTTTTAACGCGTGAGCAAAGTGCAGCTCGTTGATTTCTACGAAGTGAGCGATACAATTGATAACGTATCATGAAATTCCAACGACTTGCGTCACCATTATTGGTCAACCTGATTATTCCAACTCAGGGGACTTCCCCGTAAAAGTGCAACCAGCGTTTCAATCTCTTCAAGGTCATGGTTAATCATAAGCACTCAGCCCCCAGATCTCTCACCCAATCAAAACAGACCTTACAATAGATGGGACTTTCCAGGAAAACGATCGGCCAAATTTAACAATCTTGAAATGTCAATGGTCAACCCACCAAAAATTGAAAAGAAAAGAAAGATGACAACGTTGATCATCACTTTTCTGTGCAGCCTGAACACCTGTGAGAGTTTTGAGTATTTTTTAAAAGACTCAAGTATGGGGATTTATCACTTTTGTCTATGGGAATGTTTAAACTGCACCCTATAGACTTACAAAAATGGCCGCCGCGCCACGCATGCGCTATGACGCGAAATAGTTTTTTTTTCTGTAGGCGGAACCAAGGAGGAGGGAAGAAAAAGTATTTCAAAGGGGTCACCTCTTCGGCGGATCTGCAACAAGTTCTCACAAATATTCAAAGGTCCGATAAGCCATCAGCCGATTAAAGCAATGTCGAGAAAAATAGGGGAGGGGACTTATGGGGGTTGAGAAGAGCTGGAACTCAATTAACGCCACGAGGGCGCTATATAGCAGGGAAATGCTATAACAGTTTCCCATAAAAGTTTCTCATGTTCAGGGCTGATGAAATATGAGTAAGGGATCCTTCTTTTTTGCCGTAACAGTGGCTTTGGGAAAAATAACAAACTTTCGGCTATTGAGGGTACACCCCAGTAAATAGACAAAAAATCCGTCAGCCGAGCTCATATATAAAAGTTATACACTCAAATTATTCTATATTAGTGAGTTTTGAGATTGGGGAATTGAAGACATTTGGCACTGCACCTCTGGCCTGAACTTGGGGCCTCCTCTTCTGAGCATTTTGGATGCAATTCGGTCCGAAAGTGGCGCTATTTAGCCATGTTGTAGAGGAACCTTTTTTCCAAAATGGCTACTTTTCCAGTTTGGGAAATATCATTCGTTTTAGGGCTGGTCCTCTTTGGGTGAGACTTTTGAGACAGCCTGAACACCTGTAAGATTTTTGAGTAATTTTAAAAGAATTTTATACTTGGGTGCATCCTTTAGGAACCGAAGAGAAAATCGAAAGATAAGTCATATTATACGTAGGCCTATAGTTCACAAATTAACGGCCCGGTATTGGGCTACAAAACGCGTTTTAAACGAAACGATATTAATTGGATAAAGGATTTAAAAGTAGGATATAAACGTCCGCACAACATTTCTTTTAAGAAACTGGGCTTTTTTTGTTAATATTCCAGCGAGAACGAATTTCGGGGTCAACATTTTGACTATCAGGAGTCGTGATCCTGCCGCACATGTTCCACCGGTGCGTCGCATTCTGCGGACGTACGAGAAACAACATCTGTGTATTGGTGCTGTTTGTATTATGTGTTGTTACAAACACAACGTGTACAGAACACTGAATGGACACAGCTGGAAATACGTATGCCTATGCCACAAAATGTCCGGCGCGTCAAAAGTAATCAATCGGGATTTTTTGTCTTTTTCTCAAGAACAGTGCGACATTTGGTTAGTTTGCTTTCATCCAGACCTTTGCAAATATGGTAAGTAAACAATCCAAAACATAAAATTCTTCGTTTTTTAAAATATAATTATAATTGGATAAATAACAGAATTAATCAAATTGAAACTTACCGATCAATACATCTCAGATGATATTCCAATGTTATGCATTTTTTCAAACGATATAATTCCGTGTGGTGAGTGAGATATTTGGATGTGTACTCCAGTAACAGATATCAAGGTCAGTAGTCTTCATCTGTGAGTGCCTGAGTGGACGATGAAACGTGGTTCCACATGAGCCGCTTGCCAAACTTCCTTGTGGTTGGTGTAAAAAATCCTCAATCTCGTACTATCGCATTTTAATAATTTTTTTTAATCCAGTATTTTCCGCAGTTGTAAAACTAACACACGTGTATAACTCCGTTTGGATTTGAGAGGTAATGAAGGGCCTGTGTTTATGCACCACAACCCACACGTGGTGACCGCATGCATGTGACTCTCAATGTAGACCCTATTTCTAGGACAAGACATTTTATCACGTAATGATCAAATCCATTATACTCCACGGAAAAATTGGTTTGGTGCCGTGTGCAAATTTCCATGCTTGCCGTTTAATCTCTCACGATTGCGGACGTAATATGAATATATCGTCTTTTTATAGCAACCGTCGGGATTCTAGGCAGCCAATTAGCGTTGGGATTCTAAACAGCCAATCATCGTTAATGGTTGCCGCCAAATTGATTGACCAATCCGTAGGCAGGAAAACGTATTAATCGCTGTGTGTGTGTTTTATGTCGCAGCTTCAAAGACAAACATGCAAGTTTAGTTTGAAAATAAGTGCCCTCCTCCTCCCCAACAATCCTTCCTTTGTAATGCGTTGCAACTGGTTCGGTTGAGAAAGAGGAGGCGATTTTCGTACCAAATAAGAAGTCGAACAGTAGAAAATTGGAAAAGATTATTTTTGGGAAGGTGTGGACGTCATAATTAAAATGAATGTGAAAACACGTAATGCACGTTGGAAATAACAACACCCAAGTACACGATATGACTCCAGTACTTGCCAATTGCGGTATCGAATCGGGATACAGGAAGAAAGTATCCTATCCAGGGCTTACTATTGGAAACGAGGTTGAAAGTAAAGTAGACCCACTGGGGACGAGGTTGTGCTCAGGGTTCTAGAAACTTTCTGTTCGCTTTGTGGTGTTATTTGATCTTTTCAGTTCAAATAATACTTGCTACTGAGCTGAATGCACTGTGCACGTTTCAGCTGAGAACGGGTCAGAACCAAAGTCACAATGTGTTTATTTTTATCTCTTTGTATGGTGGGACGCTGCTTTTTTTCTCACTAACCAACGTAATTTGTGCTGAAATGTCAGGTGACTCAGCAGCATATAGCTTGGGAGAAAAAAATACAACAAAAGAGAGAAGTGAAAATCCCAGGTAAGCAGAACAGCCTCATGATAGGGTTGTTGTCTGGGGACTGACTTAGCACGAATAGTACACCGTGTCCCGGTAAACATATGCATGAAGGAATGGCTATACATTTCTCAAAAATATAGAATCGGGGATTTTAGTTACTTAAAATTGTAAAGCACACAGTTTTATTTACAACTGGTGAATCTCTCATGAAGATCCGTTGATGCTTATTGGACATATGGAGGCCTATCTGATTAGGCTCCATTCCAAAGAATGTTATGCTATTTTGTACGACACAGCACCTGACACTCCACATTCTAAATGTCTATTAGACATTGCTATGATATCTTGTATTAGCCACATTCCAACATTACAAACTTTGCTAAGATACGTTCTTTGCTAAGATACGTTAAGATACAAGTTCTGTTAAAACACAAAATATGCTCAGTTAAAGCACAATAATAACGCTCATGTAACATTATTAAAGTAGGGCCTACAAGGCCTGGATCTGTCTTGAACTACAAATGCAGACACCTAAAATTACTTCAACACAAAACCCCCCTACTGTGTCGGATTACCATTGGGGCGGTGTAAAATTAGCATTTGAAGAGCTGTGACATCTCTGGATTTTATCAACAGATTTTCATAGGAATTGGAGTAGTTGTAGACAAGACTGTATTTACAGTGCTACAAAACTGAACACTAAATCTATGATTCCTTTTTAAGGCAGGTACGGTTTGCTAACTTTCCAACCGATACAAATAGAACAAATTCAACAACAGGGCTGACCCAATACTCAACCCATTGCTACAAAAGAGAGGACATGCCCCGTATTTGTGTGCCTAATTTCGCAATTTTTCCCAGGTAAAACTAAGTCATTACAATGCATACATGAACGTGACTCTACGGTCTACCTAAATACTACAATACAAGGGACTTCCCCCGAAAGTACCCGGCTGAGTTTTGCAATCTCTCCAGGGTAATATTTTACATCATAAAGAGGTATTTGAAAAAAAAATTGTGTGTAATGCTCATACTGCACAATCCCATTGGGTTTACGAACGTACACGATTCTCGCTGTAAAGTGATTGGAAATACATGTTCTACACAGTTGCACTTTTAGTACTGCGGACAGACTGACTGGGAATTCTCGAGCGATTGCACAGAAAATTGAAAGGTAACTTTTTATTTGTTTCCATGAGTCATGTCGCCAAATCTTAAAACTAAACTTAAATATAGGTTTTCCCGGCCAACTTCACCAAGTTTTCATTCAATTTAACACCTGGCTCATTTCATTTAGATTGAAATTCAAAGAGCACGCAGATCGTCATTTAACAATTAAAAAAATTGTTCAATTTCACCATCTGAGCAATCTATCGTATTTTAGCTTCACTCGTCCCTGTAAAAGATGCATTCAAATTAAAAGTAGCGCGTTGATCATTCAATTTCGTCTGAATCAGTAGCAAGGGGTTGATCGGGCATTCATTTTAGACCGGGAGCTTGGTTGAGTTTAATTAACAATTTGAGAACAAAAGGTTTGATGGTACCTATCGATTGCCCGTCGGGGGGTAGTTCCGAAATGGCCATTCTTAAGTTGCCCTAGGTCGGATGGGGGTCAGGGGACCAAGGTCAAGAGTCCTAAATTTCGAGTTTAATTAACATGTCGCGCACAAGCGCCATTTTGGGACTTAAGTCTTCAGATTGACCCCCTGATACCAATACTTTAGAATGGAAAAAAGTCTGATAAAATTACTTAAGAATGAGTTAAAGATTGTATTTATATATGTTTCTATATATACAAATGTACACGTATATGTCCTGGTCAATAGTAGGGTTCATTAGGCACATTATTTTTGCCCCAACCGTGCCCAAATTTAAGAGCATGAAATACGGCGTGCAGATCCAAGACGGTCTGAGAATCATTTTAAGAAGTGGACCCACCTTGAGACCTGCCGATTTGGGGGCGGAGCTTGAATAAGTCTTGTCGGCAACAAGTTGTTTGGGGAACGCCTGTAAACAACCCACATTTTGTTGCAACTCCACTCTCTTATTTTGACCAAGTATGCCTACTCAGTAGTTATAGTCTTTTAAAAATTCTCCGTTTTTTTTGTTGGCAGAATGAAGCCTGTAATGAAGAGACCTCTTTTCTGGCTGGTCATTTTTTTGGCCTTTGTTTTACCAGAAAATTCGATATCGGCTATGGATCTGCAGTTACCTAGTAACAATCAGCCTCGGTGCTTTGGAATCTCAAGAGGTAAACATTTTGTTCTTGGATTTATTGATAATAGCGATGGCGGCCGCCCCGAATCCAGGGAGCTGTTTATTTTGGTGGTGGCGTTCAGTAATCAGCAAACCACAGTCACCATCAGCAGCAAGCACGAAATAGCAGGGGAACCATTCCAGGAGACCTTTGTGATCGATGCAGGTGGATTTATAAGGACCAACGTACCGGTTGAACTTGTGATGGAAAACACTGAGAGAGGCCACAAGGTGCTGGACATTTCAGCAAGCTCTGATGTTTCTGTTTACGGTCTGATGTATCAAGATCACACCACTGACGGTTTTCTCAGTATACCCACCAATAATCTTGGCATGCAATATGTGGTGACGACGTCAAGACCAATAGATGACGACAATTCGCAGTTTGCTGTCATTGGGACAGAGGATTCCACTTTGGTCCAGGTTATATTACGAGGAGCTGTTACATTCGAAGGGCAGAGCTATAGTCCAGGTGATGTGTTGAGATTCACTGTCAATGAACTAGAGGCAGTTCAAATCCAAGGTCGGATTTTGGTAGATTTAACAGGAAGTATCATTCAGAGTGACAAACCAGTTGCTGTGTTCAGTGGCAATGAATGCACAAACCACGCTGGTTCATATTGTGACACGGTGACTGAGCAATTGGTACCCGTTAAGAGCTGGGGACAGAAACACATCTACACCGCAGCCCGCAGTGACGATGACAACATCTACCGCATTGTTGCTTATTTCGGCAAAACCAATCTTACCATCCCTGGCCTTGAACACCAGTCGTTGGAACCGGGTGAATTTTGGGAAGGGCGCCTTTCGGGTTCCGGCCTCGTTACGTCAAGCAAACCCGCTCTGATGATGCAGCATTTGGCGTCCATCGATGGTATCACAGTCGACCCCTCCATCATTCAGGTTCCTGCCGAAGAACACTTTGGGTTTGTGTTTGGATTTACGACACCTCCTCACTCAGGAGAAGATTCCAGTGGTTACTTCAATTTCATCAATATCATTGTGAAACGTGAATCTCGACAAACTGTGTATCTTAATCATTTTCCAATCAACGGCACAAATGCGCTTGTAAGCGATGTTCCTCACACTAGTTACATATCCCTTACTGTTCAACTTCCGAAGGGTGAAGGTGTCTACTACGTCGAACAGATTGACCCTTATTCATCACCCCTCTCCGTCATCGTCTATGGGTATGAAAGGGCCGAATCCTATGGCTACGCCGCTGGTCTGTCTCTTTCCAGCAATAAAAAAGTGCTGAGGTTGACACCGTACTATTTGCGAGAACTTGGTGGCGAGCTTTTCACGATGACTGTTCCCTGTTTGAAAACAAATGCTATTTCCTTTCAAATTGCCGCAAAGTGCAAATTTTCTACTGGCTTTGGAGACGTAATTGTTTCTGGTGAACGCACCGACTCTTACACTGTTGTCTGCATCACTCCCACCTTTTACAAGAACGGACTTACATCTGTCTATATTTCACTTGACGACGGTGAATCATTTCCATACTCCGGCATTGTCTACGTTGCATCTGAAGACGATCTGCCGCCACTAGTACAAATTCAACAGGTAAATTCTGCGTATGGAGATGGCATCATTAACCTAACCTTCGATAATCCGATCATGTTCTCCTGGGATCCTAGAAGTCTTGGTGAAGAAGTTTCACATGTGACTGTTATGATGCAAAATACAGATTACGACAACGATGGGAATCCAGTCTTGATGGAAGGTGTTGCAGTGAGGAGCAATGTCTTGAACAACGGTAGTCTGATGATATATCCAAGCGAGCTTGACTCCCTCATTGGTGATGGTTTGTCTCTTCAAGCAACATATCTCACACCATCGGCTGTGTGCAAACGAGCTTTGCCATTAGTGATTGTATGGGCCATTAGAATCTATAAAGTTTTGAAAATAGTGAAAAAAATCTGCAATATTCCCAAATATCACTTCAAAACCACTGTTCCCACTGGACTTCCTGCATCTCCTTGCAACACAGGGCAAGCTGACCGAGACCAGAACTTCCAGGAGGCGAATTTTGCGAATTCCTTCTTCCATCCGGGTGCCGAGAAATGTTATCGGTCTGTTAATTCATTACCAACTGGAGCAGGTCAACAGAGTTGTTACGGAACAGACGGTAATATCCTGGTAGGTTCCCCTGGGGGAGGAACAGCCGACAGGTACAGTCCAGGAGATAACTTCTGGAAACATCAATGGTTCGATGTTCTTCCTTGGCTTTGCTTATGCAAACTGTCAAGCAACTGTGAAGAATATTACATGTACAGGCCATCGGATGATTGTTCGGACTACGACCCACCTCGACCGGCTGGGGGTACTGGGGATCCCCATCTTACAAGTCTGGATGGCTACAAGTTCACCTTCAACGGAGCTGGAGAATTTCTGATGGCGTCTTCTGCAGTACATAACTTGACCTTTCAAGCCCGTATGGAGAGGTACCGCAACACCAACGCATCTGTGTACACGGCATTTGTTCTTCAAACCAACGATTCCTCCAAAGTCCAGGTACAGATGTCTAACATGAACGAGACATTGATTCTTGTAGACGGTGAGCCGTTGCGTCTTGACTCCCTCCCAGTCAAAGTTCATCACCTCAGAGGTGTTCGAATCCGCTTCAACTCTGATATGACCAAAATCAACATAGCAGTTAGTGCTGGCATCGCTGTCACCGTGTACATCGACACCGCGGTGATGTCGTTCATCGCTCAACTGGACACCAAGTTCCAGGGTCAAGTTCAAGGACTTCTTGGTAACCTAAACGGAAACCCAGATGACGACCTTCAGTTTCCAAATGGAACCATTCTGGAGCCTGGCTCTTCGCTAAAAGAACTTCACGATTTTGGTTTGGAGTGGTTGGTGGCTCCAGAGGAGTCCATATTCACGTACATTTCCCCATTTGACTACAGCACATACCACTTTCCTGAGTTTTCCCCGACCTTCGAGATTCCTGATCTGAACGAAGTGAGTCAGGAAATCAAGGACCTGTGTGGCGATTCCACTGAGTGTGTCTTCGATGCGGTAATCACCGGCAGCCTGTCTTTTGCTAAAGAGACTCTTGTGGTAACAGTCACAATAACTGAAGTCAAGAAAGGATTGGTCAAGATTGTCAGTTGTGGCTACCCGGGTGATGTGGAGAACGGGTCGCTGTCAGGGTCTGTGTATCTCGTGAATGCCACTGTAGATGTGGCTTGTGATGATGGCTTCACCTTGAAAGGGTCTTCCAGATTGACCTGTCTTGAGGATGGTCAGTGGTCGTCTGATCTCCCTGTTTGTGATGACGTCAACTGTGGCTTCCCGGGGGATATGGAGAACGGATTGCTGTCAGGGTCTGTGTATCTCGTGAATGCCACTGTGGATGTGGCTTGTGATGATGGCTTCACCTTGAAAGGGTCTTCCAGATTGACCTGTCTTGAAGATGGTCTGTGGTCGTCTGATCTCCCTGTTTGTGCTGGCATGGAAAATGGAGAGGAGGGAGGGCTAGCACCTGGCATCATAGCTGGTATTGTTGTTGGTGCCGTGATTGCTGTGCTTGCAATCTGTGGTCTGATTTACTTTTTCAGGAAGAGAAACATGAAGAGAAACAAGTACAAGGTGGTCCATACGCGAAATGTTTATTTTTGTAAGACACAGCCATGCAGTGACGATTGACGAAATCATTGACTCTAATTAATTTTCTAGTCGGTTCTTGTTGCATTCAGGCCTTTTCGAGGTCAGAAGCTTAATTTCACTGCAGCGGTATCGCGACAGCAGTTGCAAATTGTTTGTTTTTGATCATGATCATTATAGCCAAATCATTAATTAGTACAATTGATATCGCCGCGCTTAATATGTAGACCTTTTAGCCAGCTTATTACATATAATTTCGCTTAGATTACCAAGAAAAAATATGAATTGAATTACACAATCACCTGCGTACCTAACCAGGATATGAGTCTGAATCGGATGCATATTCGTAACAATAAGCAGAATTTGTTACAAAACCAAGTACCTGCCAATTGTATGATTGTATGATTTTATGGTATTTCGTGAAAATGAAATTGAATTTTGAAAACGACAGTTATATAATGATGCATGTATTCAAACATGAATATGTTATGTATACTAAACTTTTTATGTAAAAGTGATTGCTCTTGTATAACGTCATTACAAAAAACGGAATGTAATTAATATGGTTTATAGGTTTTATAATGTTAATGGTTGAATGATGTTTTAAACTTTGCTTTATGAAAACTTTCCAAATAGCCGTTTGCTTAGACTTTTGTACAGAGTCGGTTTATTTTAAGAATGTTTACGTTTCAAAGGTAAAAGGGTTTAATTGATTTCAGGATTTAATAACAAAATAACCTTTTAATTCCTTTTTTCCATTTAATATTACACAAATTTTAAAAGTAACGTTTGCGGTTATATATGTATCAGATGTTTTGATTTTAAACGTACGTTGTAAATCAAACATTGTAGTTATTAATTCTTAGTTTGTAACGAATGTAGATGGTTTAACCGATAAAGGGTTGTCAATACAGAACGAAGACTGTCAGCTAGTTGGGACCATGACATGAATTTTACTTGGCAACATATTTTGTGAAACTTTCTATTCCTGTTATATGCATGAAAACTCTTTGACATCCCTTTTTTGTTAATTAATTTAGAAAGGTGTACTTTTTAAACATTTTAAATGATCCATGGACATGCTTTCTCTGAAAAGAAAATCATAACTTGAAAACTTTAAGAGCGCATCACAAAAATGTTCAAGATTGTTGTTTACATCATACACCAACATCTGAAAAAAATAACGAAATTTGAAACATTTTTATTTTCGTAATTTTAGGTTAAAAGTTATTTCGTTACGCATTTTCTCTGCGCTTCAAGCTACGATTTTGGTTTTATATTTCAAGAAAAGGAGGCCATTCAAAGAGCTTTATTATGATGTACAAGTTGGCGTTCTGGATGCTATAGTTTTGAAGATACCAGTATTTAAAGTTCGGAGGTCATGCTAATTAGTCAAATGTTGGTTGACCCGTATCCCCAAAACTAACGAGCCAAATTACCACAAAAAAAAACCACTTCTGGGTTTTTTTTCATAAAGGCCAATCATCACACCAAATATCGTTTAAATCTGTGAGGGTCGGGTGAAAAATCGTGTCGATTTGACACGGAATGACCTCTCAGCTTAGAGTAGAACAGGCCAACGATAACGCAACGTGTGACTATTATGGAATTAACGAAAATATTGAAATTACTACTTATTTCTGTCTAAACGAGTTACAGCCTAGTAAATTTAAATACTTTTTAAGTATTATGGAGTGAATAGATTATCATACTTATTTAATATTAAGATTATTGTTATTGGCATGGGTGTACTTCAAATTGGTTTAATTTGCCGTTGAATTGTGATCAGATTGCTTGAACAGGTTTTAATTAAAACTTGCAAAAATATTGCCTTTATTACAAAGTATTCTCGCTTTTAAGTTTTACAGCGAAGTATAGATTAAAGCATATAGTTAAGTGTGTGAGATGTATCAGTAAATATCAATTTAATATGCAAAGTGTATTTGCCTAAAGGTTTTTATTAAAATATGCAAAAATATTGCATTAGCTATAACATATATTTTCCGCTTAGAACTATTACAGCGAAGTGGATAGACCGAATGTTGTTTTGAATATCATATCATCGTAAAAATATTTTAACAGCAAGATGTATATTACGCTGATTTAACTTCGATTGTACTCAGATTTGAAACGGGGATTGCAAAGGTTTGCTATAAAAATGTCATGCATGCAGAATTTATTTCGAATGTCAGGGTAACATCTATCAATCGAGTGTTTATTATCACGAGTGGAGTGTTTGTGACTTGTCAACAAAATAAATTCAATTCGAAGGGCCATTGAAAACAGCCAACTACATGTTTAATTGTATTTGTTAACTTCAAAGCCTCATCTACCCCCCTCCCATCCTAGCCACCCTCTTTGAACAATCAAGGATCCACCTCTTTGATTTTCAAAACTCCAGTGACAGCCACGTTGTGCAACAGATTCAGGTAACAAAGATTTCCTAATCCAGATTGGTTTTCTTAACGCGTGACAAAGGTGCAGCTTGTTGATTCTACGAAGTAAGCAATCCAATTGATAATGAAATTTCAACGACTTCATAAAATTTCAACGACTTGCGTCACCATCATTGGTCAACCTGATTATTCAAACACAGGGGACTTCCCCTTAAAAGTGCTGCCATCCCTTTAATCTCTTCAAGGTCTTAGTTTAACATTAAACTTGGAATATAAACAGTGTCATCTAGCACTGAGCTCCCCCCCCCGATCCCTCCCCAATTAAAACAGACCTTACCATATACGGGACTATCAGGAAAAAGATCGGCCAAATGTAACAATCTCCCACAGGTAAGGTATAGGCCTGGGCCTAATCAGCAGATCAAAAGCTTGGATCTGTGAAACCGTACCGTATGAAAAACTGTACCTGTAGCCAGGAAGGATTGCCATATGATATTAGACACTATAGCAGAACTGTAGCTATTGAGGGGGTAGTGACAGGTCTTACGAGATAGATTCCTAGGTAAACAGGCCAGATGCGCTTTAGGAACCGAGGAGAAAAATCGAAAGATAACAAGTCATATATCATACGTAGACCTATATTTCACAAATTTCCAGGAAAACGATCTGCCAAATTTAACAATATCGAAATATCAATGGTCAACCCACCAAAAATTGAAAAGACAAAAATGAAAGATGACAATGTTGATCATCATTTTTCTGTGCAGCCTGAACACATGTGAGAGTTTTGAGTTTTGAATATTTTAACTATTTTTAAAAGAATTTTGAATTATGGGGATTTATTACTTTTGTATATGGTAATTTTTATACTGCACCCTAAAGACTTACAAAAATGAGGGTTGGGAAGAGCTGGAACTCAATTTACACATGAGGGCGCTATTGACCAATCCGTAGGCAGGAATACGTATTAATCGCTGTGTGTGTGTTTTATGTCGCAGCTTCAAAGACAAACATGCAAGTTTAAATAAAAATAATTGCCCTTCTCCTCCCCAACAATCCTTCCTTTGTAATGCATTGCAACTGGTTCGGTTGAGAAAGAGGAGGCGTTTTTTCATGCCAAATTTGGATGTAGGTTTAGCTAATTTGTTACACGTAACAATATAGCGGTGTGATGTGCCACACGGCCTATTCCCTACCATACCTGGGAGCTTATCCTTGCAGTGTTAACATAAACGTGTATTAAAAAGTATCCCGTGACATTCAACACGGATTATACAAGCCGCATGTTCAAGCGGTTGGAACAATAATTGATTGTAATTCATAATTGGATATTCAACATTCAAAAGGTGGATATTCTTTGATTAAAATGGCTCCGACGCTTTGCGTCCATGCCCATTCGAATCATTGGGGTTTAGGCCATGGATTAGGAGTACCTTCACAATAATACATTTTCAAAATTCACTTGGTGATTTTGTTGTTATAACAACAATATTTAGACTGACACTTTTTTGGAGACATACCATATATAGTAATCACCCGAGGCCTGTTTAAAGCGGATTACTGCCCCCGAGTTCCAACACACATGAACGCTGTAGGAGGATCATGAAAACAATCTGTCATTCACCCTCAACGCCTTTCCCCCTTCAAAACCCCACAGTGCGTAAGTAGTCTGTAGTTATGTAATAATCAATTTCTCCAAACCGATTTTCCGTAACAAACTTTTTAGGTCGATACCATACTTTCTAAAACTAACTTTTGCTGCGGATTTTGGATTTCCCGTCTGTTTAAGTGCGCCACTCACTACGTCTTGGCCTCCAGAATCTGACCAGTCAGCGAGCACCTTCTATTCTGTCTTAGGTAACCCGATGCTGTATGACAAAAACATGGCAGCTGTTGACCAATCATCAACAGCTTTGGCCGAGTTTCTGCACTACGTGACGTGACGTCACGACTTCGAAAGGAGGCAGGGTTGCATACATTTTACATGCACGGATATATCAGACGTTCGTATAGTGTGGCCCTGCATACGTAAACGTCTGATCCTCATGCATTGACGTCTGGGGTTCTGACAACTTTTTGTTCGCTTTTATTTGTTCTTTTCAGATCAAATAATACTTGCCACTGAGCTGAATGCACTGTGCACATTTCAGCTGAGATCGGGTCAGAACCAAGGTCACAATGTGTTTTTTTGTATCTCTTTATTTGGTGGTGCGCTGTTTTTTCCCCACTATAACCAACGTTATTGTCCTGTCAGGTGACTCAGCAGCATATAGTTTGGGACCTCTGCCAAGTTTGGAAGAAAAGAAATACAACAAAAGAGAAAAGTAAAAAATCCCAGGTGAGCTGAGCAGCCTCGTTATAGGGTTTGTCTGGGGATTGACTTAACACCGTGTCCCGGTAAACATGTGCATTAAAATATGGCTATACATATCTCAACAATATAGAATCGTGGATTTTAGTTACTTAAAAATTGTAAAGCGCACAGTTTTATTTACAACTGGTGAAACTCTCATGAAAATCCGTTGATGCTAATTGGACATAATGGAGGCCTATCTGATTTGGCTTCATTCCAATTGATTAACAACTGAAGTAATAGCACAAAGCCCATGAAAATGTTAAATATGTACGACACGGCACCTCACGCTCCACATTCTGAATGTCTATCAGATATGGCTATTTTATCTAATATAAGCCAGATTCCAACATTACAAACGTTGCTAAGACACGTTCTTTGATAAGAACATTAAGATAAAGTTCTGTTAAAACACAATAACTATGTTCAGTTAAAGCACAATAATAACACTCATGTAACCTTATTGAAGTAGGGCAAACAAGTCCTGGATCTTTCTTAACTAGAAACGATCAGACACCAGTAATTACTGCAACACAAATCCCTCTACTGTGTGAATACAATTTGTATGGGGTAAATTACTAATCATCTGGATTTTATCCACAGACTTTCATAGGAATTGGAGCAGTTGTAGGCAAGACTGTACTACAGTGCTATACAAATTTAAGACTAAATCTATGATTACTTTTTGAGGAATGCCAACCGATACAAATAGAACAAATTCAACAACAGGCCTGACCCAATGCTGCCGGCCCTAATACTACAAAAGAGAGGACTGACCTGAATTTGTTTGTCCTTGATTTCGCAATTGTTCCGAGGTAAAAATAAGTCATAAAAATCCACACATAACGTGACTTCACGCTTTATCTGAATACTACAATACATGGGACTTTACCCAAAAGGTAATATTTTAAATCACAAAACAGGGATTTGAAAAGAATGCTCATCCTGCACAATCCCAATGGACTATACGTACGTATACGTTCTCGCTGTAAATTGACTGGAGGTCAAGTTGTACGCAAGAGCACATCTTGTGTTGCAGACAGCCTGATTGGGAGTTTCTCGAGCAAACGAGCAGAACAATCGAAAGGTATGTGTGTATTTGTTTCCACGGCCATATCGCCAAATCTTATAGGACTGGATTTAAATAGTACACTATTGGGAATTCGGAATGGTCAACTGATTCCAAAACGTTTATCACTTATCAAATTATCACTTAAAACCTTGCTGGATTGTTAGGAAATGACAGTCTAAAGCATCCTGTAATTCGTGGCTCCTGGTGTGCTGACATTTTCAAGAAAAATGGTATTTTTACAACGCTGGTCGGCCGACCAGCGTTGGAGAAAACTTTTTTTTTTTCAAAACTGCTCCTAATTTTTCAAAATTAGTTATTCCGCGTTTTCTTTGCAATTGATTACACAACTGTGAAGAGGTACAAGCCTACCAGACTGACTCTCTGATCTTACCATTCCCCAACGTCTATAAATTCTCCGTTTCATCTTAAGTGGGGTCTGGGAACCAGACTACAAGAACATGAATGGTTTTCTTGGTTTTTCCAACATCTTCCAACATAAAAATTAACATTATGTATGAAAGACTTCACGTACTGTAAAAGGAGTACATGTAATGCCAAAATCGTATAATCGGCTTATCGTTTCTTTCTCTATGATCATGTTTACAGCACTTCCTGACAGCACAGACGTGTATTTTTCTTGACAGGACGTTTTGTGGCTTGCCAGAAGTTGACCAGGTGAGATCAAAATAAACTATCCCGTACTGAACCACCTTGACAGAAATGTTATCAAAACCTAAAGTCCAGTGGTGGCTCATTGTTTTCATGAACCTGTTTATGAATTTAATTACTTACGTTACTGATGTACTGCCCGACCCGACTGCCCAACAGAAATGCCTTTTTATGCCAGAATAGGTAAATATAGCTGGTTCTTGTAAAGTTGGACCAACCTTTGGTCGTGCCTATTTTAGGGCGCAGCTAAATTCTTGATTAAGGGGTGCACAAGAGCGAAACTCACACCAGAACAATATTTCTAGAGTTTACAAAGGCCCTATGTTTTGTTTTCCATTTTGTGGGCGTGCCCCGTACTTGCAAGAGGTGGTATATTTGAGCTGTTAAGTTTAAACAATGTTCACATCTCTGCATTGAAGAGTAAAACAAAATGAGAAACCTTTTGTTGCAATGATATTTGCCCCTCTATGGGAAGGACTTATTTTTTTTCCGAGTGGGAGGTAAAATAATTCGAAATCGTTTGAGGGGCTTAATTAAATGGGTCCGATTTTGCCTTCAGCACAGGTATGTCGTCAAATATTAACATGTATAAAATGCTAGAAACGTTCTTTTTTGGCAAAACGTGGTACAGCTGTGAAATGTATCTAAAGCCAGTAGCCTTCAGAGCCAAAAAAATATTCAAGATCAGTTTTCCCACGCTTGCAGCTGCATTCTCTGCATTACGAGTCATGGGGCCGTCCATAAAGTACGTACGCACGAAACGCCGACTTTTAGACCCCCCCCCCCTCCCCCTGTTCACATGGTATAAGCGTTCCGGTGTATACACACACATGTGTACATTAGGCTATACAGAAGCATTACGAATGTGCAAAGCTTGCCGGCTAATGGCAAGCGGCGATTGTGTAGTTATTTTACAAAAACATCGTTTAACGAAGGGTAAGCTTTTTTGTGTGGAAATTCTTGGAGTAAAACGATGATAAAGACGGCAAAATGCAACACAAAAAATGGCGATCACCGGGACGGATGAACTGTAAAATGCGTAAAAAACATCGCATTTTCAACCGAAAAATAATGTCCAATTGAAACAAAAATTGTCAAATAGGCCCTACTTGACCAAAACTGACGAGGGGCCGTATTACAACAATCGCTATCATGTCGCGGTATCTGAAGTCTGATGACCTCTAAAGGCGTTGGCTGGCGGAGTACTGGTGACGCTGGGAAGAAGAGGGTACAGTGTTATAAATTATCGCTCTGCGTACGTACTTTATGGACGGCCCCTTAAAAGTGATAAGCCTGAAGTTCCACGCACAACTGCAACTCCTATGACATTTCAAACTTTATCACTAGGTCGAAAAAAGGCTTTTCTTTTACTTTTAAAAAAAAACAACCTAAGCTTATGACCACATCCTCTAATCTCAAAGTTACACTATTTAAATAGTGCTTAGGGTTTAAACACTTTTAAACGTGTTAAGTCTAAGACATTTTAGATTTTTAGCATAGTATAAAAGCCTGCTAGAATAGCGCCATCAATAACTACTTGTATAAAAAAATAGGTTCGTTTTTTTCTGAGACATGTGATAAAAAAGGAGTGAGAAAAATGTTTATTTATCCCGTCAATTTACCTGAAACAATAAAAAAGACAATACCTATTTCGACACTTTACTGATAATTTCTAATATTCCAGCTTTTAATGTCCGAAAACTGTTTGCGGTTCCATACAGAATTGTCATCTTTTTACCACATAGACAGCATTGTAGATAGACTAAGTTGAACTTTTCTCCAGTATACCCCCTCTTTACACACGTGGGCCACGCCCACAATATGAACACAAAATAACGGCTTCAAATTTTGAGAATCTGTCTGATTTATACCTTGCATGAAAAAAAGAATTACTATAAATGACTTATAGACGCTTTTTCTGATTTGGTCTTATTGGCAACAACCTTGTTTAAACGACCCACACTTTTTTTTTTGAAAACTCCACTCATTCATTTGAACCCAGGATGCCTGCCTTGTAGTCTGCTCTAAAGTCTTGAAATGTTTTCCTTTTTTTGCCAGAATGAAGCCTGTACTGAAGAGACATATTTTCTGGTTGGTCATCTTCATGGCCTTTGCATTATCAGAAATGCCGGTGTCAGCTCTGGATCTGCACTTACCTGGTAACAATCAGCCTCGATGCGCTGGGATATCAAGAGGTAAACACTTTGTTCTTGGATTTATTGATAGTTACGATGACAGCCACGTCGCATCCAGGGAGCTGTTCATTTTGGTGGTGGCTTTCAGTAATCAGCAAACCACAGTCACCATCAGCAGCAAGCACGAAATAGCAGGAAAACCATTCCAGGAGACCTTTGTGATCGATGCAGGTGAATTTATACGGACCAACGTACCAGTTGAACTTGTGATGGAAAACACTGAGAGAAACCAAAAAGTTCTTGAATTTTCAGCAAGCTCTGATGTCTCCGTTTACGGTCTGATGTATCAAGATTACACCACTGACGGTTTTCTCGGTATACCAACAAATAATCTCGGCATGCAATACGTGGTGATGACGTCAAGACCATTAGTTGACCAAAACTCGCAGTTTGCTGTCATTGGGACAGAGGATTCCACTTTGGTTCAGGTTATATTACGAGGAGCAGTTACATTCGAAGGGCAAAGCTATAGTGCAGGTGATGTGTTAAGATTCACTATCAATAACTTAGAAGCCGTTCAAATCCAAGGTCAGAGTTCGGAAGATTTAACTGGAAGTATCATTCAGAGTGACAAACCAGTTGCTGTGTTCAGTGGCAATGAATGCACAAACCACGCTGGTTCATATTGTGACATGGTGACTGAGCAGTTGGTACCAGTTAAGAGCTGGGGACAGAGACACATCTACACCGCGGCCCGCAGTGACGATGACAACATCTACCGAATTGTTGCTTATTTCAGCGAAACCAATCTCACCATCCCCGGATTTGAACACCAGTCGTTGGAACCGGGTGAATTTTGGGAAGGGCGTCTTTCGGGTTCCGGCCTCATTAGGTCAAGCAAACCCGCTCTGATGATGCAGCATTTGGCTTCCATCAATGGTATCACAGTCGACCCCTCCATCATTCAGGTTCCTGCAGAAGAACACTTTGGGTTTGTGTTTGGATTCACGACCCCTCCTCATTCTGGAGGTGATTCCGGTGGTTACTTCAATTTCATCAACATCATTGTGAAAAATGAATCTCGACAAACTGTGTATCTTAACAGTCTTCCAATCAACGGCTCAAATGTACACGAAAGCGATGTTCCTCACACCAATTACGCATCACTTACAGTTCAACTTCCAAAGGGTGAAGGTGTCTACTATGTCGAGCAAACAGATCCGTTTTCATCACCCCTGTCTGTCATTGTCTATGGATATGAAGACGCCGAATCCTATGGCTATGCCGCTGGTCTGTCTCTCCCCAGCAATAAACATGTTCTGAGTTTGACACCGTACTATTTGCGAGAACTTGGTGGCGAGCTATTCACGATGACTGTTCCCTGTTTGCAAACAAATGCTATATCCTTTCAAATTGCTGCAAAGTGCAAATTTGCCACTGGCTTTGGAGACGTCATTGTTTCTGGTGAACGCACTGACCCTTACACTGTTGTCTGTATCACTCCTACTTTTTACAAGAACGGACTTACATCTGTCTATGTATCACTTGACGATGGTGGATCATTTCCATACTCCGGCATTGTCTACGTTGCATCTGAAGAGGATCTGCCGCCACTAGTTCAAATCCAACAGGTGAATTCCGAGTATGAAGATGGCATCATTGACCTAACCTCAGATGGTCCGATCATGTTATCCTGGGATCCTAGAAGTCTTGGTGAAGGAGTTTCACATGTGACTGTTATGATACAAGACACAGATTATGACAGCGATGGGAATCCAGTCTTGATGGATGGTGTTGCAGTGAAGAGCAATGTTTTGAACAACGGTAGTCTGATGATATATCCAAGCGAGCTTGACTCTCTCATTGGTGATGGTTTGTCTCTTCGAGCAACATATCTCACACCATCGGCTGTGCGCAAACGAGCTTTGCCATTAGTGATGGTATGGGCCATTAGAATCTATAAAGTTTTGAAAATAGTGAAAAGAATCTGCAATATTTCCAAATATCACTTCAAAACCACTGTTCCCACTGAAATTCCTGCGTGTCCTTGCAACACAGGACAAGCTGACCGAGACCAGAACTTCCAGGAGGCGAATTTTGCGAATTCCTTCTTCCATCCGGGTGCTGAGAACTGTTACCGGTCTGTTAATTCATTGCCGACTGGAGCAGGTCAACAGTGTTGTTACGGAACAGACGGTAATATCCTGGTAGGTCCCCCTGGGGGAGGAACAGCCGATAGGTACAGTCCAGGAGAGCATTTCTGGAAGCATCAATGGTTCGATGTCCTTCCTTGGCTTTGCTTATGCAAACTGTCAAACAACTGTAAAGAATATCACAAGTACAGGCCATCGGATGATTGTTCTGACTACGACCCACCTCGACCGGCTGGGGGCACTGGGGATCCTCATCTTACAAGTCTGGATGGCTACAAGTTCACCTTCAACGGAGCTGGAGAATTTCTGATGGCGTCTTCTGCAGTACATAACTTGACCTTTCAAGCCCGTATGGAGAGGTACCGCAACACCAACGCCTCTGTGTATACGGCATTCGTTCTTCAAACCAACGATTCCTCCAAAGTCCAGGTGCAGATGTCTAACATGAACGAGACACTGATTCTTGTAGATGGTGAGCCGTTGCGTCTTGACTCCATCCCCGTCAAAGTTCATCGCCTCAGAGGTGTTCGAATCCGCCTCAACTCTGACATGACCAAAGTCAACATAGCATTCAGTGCTGGCATTGCTGTCACCGTTTACATTGATACCGAGGTGATGTCGTTCATCGCTCAACTGGACACCAAGTTCCAGGGTCAAGTTCAAGGACTTCTTGGTAACCTAAACGGAAACGCAAATGACGACCCTCAGTTCCCAAACGGAACCATTCTGGAGCCTGGTTCTTCGCTGAAAGAACTTCACGATTTTGGTTTGGAGTGGTTGGTGGCTCCAGAGGAGTCCATATTCACCTACATTTCCCCATTTGACTACAGCACATACCACTTTCCTGAGTTTTCCCCGACCTTCGAGATTCCTGATCTGAACGAAGTGAGTCAGGAAATCAAGGACTTGTGTGGCGATTCCATTGAGTGTGTCTTTGATGCGGTAATCACCGGCAGCCTGTCTTTTGCTAACGAGACTCTTGTGGTGACAGTCACAATAACTGAAGTCCAGAAAGGATTGGTCAAGATTGTCAGCTGTGGCTACCCGGGTGATGTGGAGAACGGATTGCTGTCCGGGTCTGTGTATTTCGTGAATGCCACTGTAGATGTGGCTTGTGATGATGGCTTCACCTTGAAAGGGTCTTCCAGATTGACCTGTCTTGAAGATGGTCAGTGGTCGTCTGATCTGCCTGTTTGTGCTGGCATGGATAATGGCGAGGAGGGAGGACTAACTCCTGGCATCATAGCTGCTATTGTTGTTGGTGCCGTGATTGTTGTACTTGCTATCTGTGGTCTGATTTACATTTTCGTCAAGAGAAAATAAGTTTCAACAACAAAAGAAAGACACGTCTTGAAACAAACCACAGTTTCTTTACAGCTGAATTACACTGTAGAGGTATCGCAAGAGCAGTGGTAAATTATTTGTTTGTTATCCCGATCGTTATAGCCAAATCAACACACTAAGTAAAGTACATTAGTTCATTTTTAATCGCGCTTATAATAGGTCGGGTGTAGACCTTCAAGCCAGCTTATCAGATAAAATTTCGCTCAGATTACCAAGACAACATATGAAGTGAATTGCTCAGATTACCTGCCTATAATAACAAGGATAGGAGTCTGGATCGGATGCATATTTGTTTCCTTGGGTGGTTTTAAGCAGTATAGGCCTCGTAGCCCTAGTTACACGTGTACAGCGATTTTTAGCAAAGGTTGAAGTTTAAATGTAGAATGTAAGAATATTAATCTTGTTAATTACAATGCATAACACATACATTTCAGTGTTGTACTCCTTAAGAGGCAATCATGTTGTGAAACAGGTTCCTTTCAAGAGGCAACTTATATTATTTAAACCGATAAAAAAGTAACACGACCCGAGAATTGTTTCAGTAAAACTAAAAGTAAGCAGAATTTGTTACAAAACCAAGTAACTGTATGAATGGTTTGTCGTAAAAATGAATTGAGTTCTGAAAACAACAGTCATGCATGTATTCATATACCAACATGTTATGTTTACCAATTTTATTATGTAGAAATGATTGCTCTAGTTACGTCATTACAATAAAGGGAGTGTAGTTTTATATCGTTTATGAGTTTTATAATGTTAATGGCTGTATAGTGGTGTCTTAAACTTTGCTTCACGGAAACTTTACCAATATCCGTTTTTTTAGACTTTTCTTTAGAGTAGGTATATTTTATGATATTTATAATTTAGAAATGAAAAATGTTTTGATTGATTTCAGGATTTAATATCAAGAAAAAAAACAATTCAGCTTTTCATTTTAGGTTACACAGACTTTTTAACCACCTGTTGCCGTTGTTTACTTATGTACATGTATTGTGTTTTTATTTTAAACGTTGGTTTAAAATCAATATTGTAGTTATCTATAAAATACTTAGATTGTAACTAATGTGGATGAGTTAATTGAAGGGTTTTCAATAGATAAGAAGACTGTCAACAAGCTAAAGGACCAGGACATGAATTTTACTTGGGAACATATATTTCGCAACTTTCTATTCCTCTTAATGCATGAAAACTATTTGAATCCCATTGTTGGTTAACATTGTTTAAAAGTGCACTTCTATACCTGCATTTCCTGACAACTGAGGGAGCTCTTGCTGTGTAGTCTCTTTAGGAACACACTTTTCAGTTTAGTGGTTTTCTGTTCAAATTGTGAACCCAAAAATTTGTGAGAAAAGTTTTTGGACAAACGCAAAATTTGACTATGATGGAATTAACGAAAAGTGTAAACTATTTCCGCTTTAACGAATTACAGCGCGGTAGATTGAAAGACTTTTCCAGTAATGTTGATGGGCAGGAAAAGATATCATTTAATTGGAGGCTATTGTTATTTACATGGTGTACTCAGTAAAATTGGTTGAATTTGTCGTTGAAGTATGCTCAGATTTGGAAAATTGTCTTGTAAACGATTGCATTAAAAGGTTTTAATTAAAACGTACAGAAATATTGCATTGAACACGAAATATTCTCGCTTTTAATTATTACAGCGAAGTAGATTTAAAGGCAATTAATTACAATTGAGTGTGTGGGATATGATATCATTGGGTTTAATTTAATATGCAAGGTGTACTTTAAAAAAAAAATGTTTTAATTAAAATGTGCAGAAAAATTGTTTTTTTTTTCACACAATATTATCGCTTTTAAGTATAATAGCGAAGTAGATTGAAGTATAATCAAATGTATGGGATGTAATATCATTGAGTATGCCAGGTGTATTCGCGTAAAAGGTTATATTACAATGTGGAGAAAAATTGCATTTGCTATAAAATATATGTTCTGCCTAGAATTATTACAGCGAAGTAGATTTAAAGGCCTTCGAGTGTTGTTTTTGATTTCATATCATTGTAAATTAGTTGAACATCAATATGAACTCAACGTTGAGTTAACTTTGATTGTACTCATATTTGAACCGAAAATAGCAAAGGTTTGCTTCACAAAATGTCATGCATGCAGAATATATTTCGAAAGACAGCTCAACATTTTTCAATCGAGTGTTCATTATCATGAGTGGAGTGTTTGTTATTTGTCTAAAAAATCAATTCATTATGGGATGCGCTCTGTCGCACGGAAGGATATTGAGAACAGCCAACTATAGCTGTATTCGTTAACTTTAACGCCTCATCTACCCCTACTCCCTATCCTAGCCACCCCCTTTGAACATTCATAGATCCGTCTGATTTAAAACAAACTCTAGTTACAGCTTAGCTTTACAATGCTGTGCCATGCAACAGATCAAGTGAACATGAATTTCCTAATCCATTTTTTTTAACGCGTGAGCAAAGAGCAGCTTGTTGATTTCTACGAAGTAAGCAATACAGTTGATAACGTATCATGAAATTCCAACGACTTTCGTCGCCATTTTGGTCAACCTGATCATTCCAACTCAGTGGACTTCCCCGTAAATGTGCTACCAGCTTTTCAATCGCTTCAAGGTCATTGATGTAACGTAATTTATCATTAAACTTGGACTGTAAACAATTGTCATCAAGCACTCAGCCTCCAGATCTCTCACTCAATTAAAACAGACCTTACAATAGATGGGACTTTCCAGGAAAACGATCTGCCAAATTTAACAATCTCGAAATGTCAATGGTCAACCCACCAAGAATTAAAAAGAAAAGAAAGATGACAATGTTGATCATCACTTTTCTGTGTAACCTGAACACCTGTGACAGTTTTGAGTCTTTTTTTAAAAGACTCAAGTATGGGGATTTATCACTTTTGTCTATGGGAATTTTTTAACTGCACCCTATAGACTTACAAAAATGGCCGCCGCGCCACGCATGCGCTATGACGCGAAAGTGTTTTTTTTTTTTGTGGGAGGAACCAAGGGGAGGGATAAGCCATCAGCCGATTAAGGCAATGTCGAGAAAAATAGGGGAGGGGGACTTATGGAGGTTGAGAAGAGCTGGAACTCAATTAACGCCACGAGGGCGCTATACAGCCGGGAAATGCACATAAAAGCTTCCCATGTTCAGGCCTGATATCGACCTGAGATATTCTTTTCTTTCAGCTTTTTTTCACGAAACATGAGTTATGGATCCTTCTTCTTTGCCTTGGCTTGAGGAAAAATAGCAAACTTTCGGGTATTAAGGGGACACCCCAGTAAATAAGCAAAAAATCCGTCCGCCGAGCTCATATGTAAAAGTTATACACTCAAAATATTCTATATAAGAGAGTTTTGAGATTGGGGCATTGAAGACATTTGGCACTGTACCTCTGGCCTGGACTTAGGGCTTCCACGTCTGAGCATATTGGATGCAATTCGGTCCGAAAGTGGCGCTATTTAGCCATGTTGTGGAGGGACCTTTTTTTCTAAAATGTCTACTTTTCCAGTTTGGGAAATATCATTCGTTTAAGGGCTGGTCCTCTTTGGGTGAGACTTTTTCGAAATGTCAATGGTCAACTCACCAAAAATTGAAAAGAAAATGAAAGATGACATACTGGTTATAATTTTTCTGTGTAGCCTTAACACCTGTCAGAGTTTTGAGTATTTGTAAAAGAATTTTGAAGTATGGGGATTTATCCCTGGTGTCTATGGGATTTCTATTATTGGGTGTACCCTTAAGGAACCGAGGAGAAAATCGAAAGATAACAAGTCATATCATACGTAGGCATATAGTTCACAAATTAACGGCCCGGAATTGGGCTACAAAACGCGTTTTAAACGAAACGATATTAATTGGAAAGAGCATTTAAACGTAGGATATAAACGTCCGCACAACATTTTTTTAAAGAAACTGGGCGTTTTTGTGTTAATATTCCAGCGAGAACGAATTTCGGGGTCAACGTTTTGACTCTCAGGAGTCGTGATCCTTCGGCACATCTTTCATCGGTGCGTCGCATTCTGCGGACGTACGTGAAACAACTCTTGTGTATTAGTGATGTGTGTATTATGTGTTGTTACAAACACAACGTGTACAGAACACTGAATGGACACGGCTGGAAATACGTATGCCTATGCCACAAAATATCCGGCGCGTCAGAAGTAAACAATCGAGATTTTTCGTCTTTATCTCAAGAACAGTGCGACATTAGGTTAGTTTCCTTTCAACCAGACCTTTGAAATATGATAAGTAAACAATCCAAAACATACAATTCTTCGTTTATTTTAATATAAATATTTCGATAAATAACAGAAGTAATCAAATTGAAACTTACCGATCAATACATCTCAGATGATATTCCAATGTTATGCATTTTCCAAACGATATAATTCCGTGTGGTGAGTGAGATATTTGGATGTGTACTCCAGTAACAAATATCAAGGTCAGTAGTCTTCATCTGTGAGTGCCTGCGTGGACGATGAAACGTGGTTCCACATGAGCCGCTTGCCAAACTTCCTTGTGGTTGGTGTCAAAAATCCTCAATCTCGTACTATCGCATTTTAATAGTTTTTTTAATCCAGTATTTTCCGCAGTTGTAAAACTAACACACATGTATAACTCCGTTTGGATTTGAGAGGTAATGAAGAGCCTGTTGTGTATGCACTACAACCCACACGTGGTGACCGCATGCATGTGACTCTCCATGTAGACCCTATTTCTAAGACAAGACATTTTATCACGTAATGATAAAATCCATTATACTCCACGGAAATATTGGTTTGGTGCCGTGTGCAAATGTCCATGCTTGCCGTTTAATCTTTCCCGATTGCGGACGTAATATGAATATCTCGTCTTTTTATAGCAACCGTTGGGATTCTAGGCAGCCAATTAGCGTTGGGATTCTAAACAGCCAATCATCGTTAATGGTTGCCGCCAAATTGCTTGACCAATCCGTAGGCAGGAATACGTATTAATCGCTGTGTGTGTGTTTTATGTCGCAGCTTCAAAGACAAACATGCAAGTTTAGTTTGAAAATAATTGCCCAACTCCTCCCCAACAATCCTTCCTTTGTAATGCATTGCAACTGGTTCGTTTGAGAAAGAGGAGGCGTTTTTCGTGCCAAATAAGAAGTCGAACAAATAATCTTGTTTGGAAAAGGGTTTAGCTAACTTCAATAGGATAAGACATTTCGCTTGTACATGTACCTCAAGTTTCACTTGGCTAGATGTAATATTGTAATCTAACAATACAGCGCAGTGATGTGACATATGCACATGGCCTATTCCCTACCATACCTGGGAGTTTACACTTATAGTGTTAACATAAATGTGTAACAAATAGCCCGTGACATTCAACACAGATTATACCAGCCGCATGTCCCAGCGGTTGGAACAAGTGATTGTAATTTACAATTGGATATTCAACATTCAAAAGGTGGATATTCTTTGATTAACATGGCTCCGACGCTTTGCGTCCTCGCTCATTCGAATAAAAGAATCTCCAGTTTTTCGTCGCTGGCCTAAACTTAATAAACAAGCGCTGAAATTGATTAGCCTTCCTATGCAAACATACATTCTATGCCGAGTAGTCCTTCCAGTCAAAATCAAGCAAGTGACTGTTTTCAGTAGTAAAGAATTCCCAGCCTACATGAAGCAGGATTGTCTGGCTGGAACTGTTTAAGTAACTTGATACAGCTATTGACTCCAGATAAGTAATAAAACAGCTGTGACCACACCTTACATGCTTTGTCTATTGACCCAGTTTGACTTGTCACAGTGCTCACTTGATACAATAATCTGACTTGTGCATGGTGCCTAGCCTTTGTTTAAAGTATAGCAGGGGAAATAGAAGTGGATTTTGACTGCAAGGAAATTGGTCAGTGTCCAAAAAAGTTGTTGCCATCCATTGACCATTGTGTGAGGCGTGAGGGAAATTTAATACCACTCATTGGGGTTTAGGCCATGGATTAGGAGTATCTGCACAATAATAACGTTTCAAAATTCACTTGGTGATTTTGTTGTTATTACAAAAATATTTAGACTGACACTTTTTTGGAGACGTATGCAAATTAGGAATAGTCTGGTGCCTACCTGTGCTTCACGTTAGCGTTTGTTTTTTGTTTGCGGTTTTTGGGTAAAAAAAAGAAAGAATCAATTCGTCGCGGCGTGAGTTACAAAAGCACGATTTTTTTTCAAAGTTTAAATGTTACAATCTTCTGAAGTCAATATGCAGTGTCCAATTTCATGTTAATATGCAAAAATTGGAAAGGATTATTTTTGGGAAGGTGTGGACGTTATAATTAAAATGAACGTGAAAACACGTAATGCACGTTGGAAATAACAACACCAAGTACACGATATAACTCCAGTACTTGCCAATTGCGGTATCGAATCAGAATACAGGAAGAAAGTTTCCTATCCAGGGCTTACTATTGGAAACGAGGTTGAAAATAAAGTAGACCCGCTGGGGACGAGGTTGTGATCAGGGTTCTAGCAACTTTCTTTCCGCTTTGTGGTGTTATTTGATCTGTTCAGTTCAAATAATACTTGTCACTGAGCTGAATGCACTGTGCACATTTCAGCTGAGAACGGGTCAGAACCAAAGTCACAATGTGTTTATTGTTATCATTTTATTTGGTGGGACGCTGCTTTTTTCTCAATAACAAACGTAATTGTGCTGAATGTCAGGTGACTCAGCAGCATATAGCTTAAGACCTCAACCAAGTTTGGAAGAAAAAAAGTCAACAATAGAGAGAGGAGTGAAAATGCCAGGTAAACCAGGCTCATTTTATGGGCTTTTCAAGGGACTGACTTGGCATGAATAATTGTACACCGTGTCCCAATCAACATGTGCATGAAGGAACTTGACTACACTTCTCAAAAATTATAGAATCGAGAATTTTAGTTACTTTTAAAAAGTAAAGCGCAGTTTATTTACAACTGGTGAAACTCTAATGAAAATCCGTTGATGCTAATTGGACGTATGGCCTATCTGATTTGGCTCCATTCCAATAAAAAACTGAACTAAGGCC